ATCTGGCAAGAGCAGAAGCAAGAGAGTGAGGGGAAAAATGCTACACACTTTTAAACAACCAGATCTCATGAGAAGTCTCTCACAATGGCAAGGACAGTACCAAGAAGAATTGTACTAAACCATTCATGAGACATCTACCCACAATCAGTAGATTAACAGAGCTAAGATTCAAGCCTGGTCTATCTGACTTCAAAGCCCAGGTTTTTCTCTACTGTGCCATTTATTTATTCATTCAGCACTTAGTTACTGACCATCTGTTATGTCATGAACCAATCACCTCCCACCAAGCCCCTCCTCCAACACTGGGGATTACATTTCAATATGAGATTTGGGTGTGGGCACATATCCAAATTATATCAAGGAGTAAATATGGGAAGACCAGGACACCAGTTAGAGGCTACTGCAGTATTAAGAGGTGACAATGGGCTGAACTACAGTGGTGACAATGGAGACAGAGAGAGGTGGAGCTGCCCACAGTCACACAGTCAGTAGGTTAACAGAGCTAAGATTCAAGCTTTGGTCTATTTGACTTCAAAGCCCAGGTTCTTCTCTACTTTGCCATTTATTTATTCATTCAGCATTTAGTTACTGACCATCTGTTATGTATCAGGCCTGTGTCAGATGCTGAGGATACAGCCATGAACAAAACAGATACTACTCTAGTGTAATTTACAGTCTAGACATTAAACAAATAAGAATATAAAGAGATGTATACAATTACAAATTGGGATGAGTACCATGAATTTTAGTAGGTAATATTACCAATTAAACTACAAAAATCTTCCAGACTGTTGACAATACGAAAAAGCCACTTGCCTGTTGCATGCAAGTAAAACGCTTTAGGAAACTTTGCTTGTCAGAGTTTGATATTGAGTATGACATCCCTGGCCAGCTCGTGAGCTTTGAGGCTAGTAGTCTCAAGGTCGCATTAACCCTGTGGAAATAGAATTCTTTCTAAAAGCAACTACTAACTCTTTAATTTATTTACATATCTCAATCTCAGGCAATCATCACGTATGCATTTAAAATAGTTGGGATCTTTCACAGATTCGTTCATTTGAACATCACAGCAGCCCAATGTAGAATGCAGGCAGGTTTTAATATCAGATTTCAGGGTTGAGGAAACTGAGGCCTAGACAGGTAAAGTGACTTAATCAAGGTCACCAAACTAGGAAGGCACCCAGATCCAACTCTCACTAGAAGCACCTCCAGCCAGGAAACCATGAATCTCAGATGAGACAGCTGCAGGTCACTGAGCCTGGATAAAGTCACCCAGGAGTCCCATGAAGTTCCTGAGAACAATGATCAGGGACATTAAGCAGCTTGGGAAAGGTTTCTAGAATGCAGCACCACAAGCCTGAGACACAGGTACCCTTGCCAACTCTCCCAGATTAGAACAGGTTCTCTTGGACTCCTTCCAAGTGCCTCTGACTAACAGAGAAAAGTATTTTTCCATCACAAACACTGCAGGCAGGCATCAGACTCCTGAGAGAGGAGGGCAGAGAACACATTCCAAATTCCCATATAGACAATCTATAAAGTTATTCTGATACCATGTGAACTGCCCCAGCTAAGCACCTACCACTGGGGATGTCCAGTATTGAGCAGCGTTTCTCAATCTTGACACCATTAACATTGGGGCTAGATAATTCTTTGTGATAGGGCGCTGCCCTTGCATTGTAGGATGTTTAACAGCATCCCTGGCCTCTGCCCATTAGATGCCAGTAGTGTCTGTGCATAAACTCTTTTTTAAATTAATATCACACAACTAATGCCTCCCAGAATGAGACTGAGAGCAGCCGTGTACTGATGTGGACTGCAAGTATATCCCAGGAATAATTCACCACTGGAGCTTGTGAAAACAACTAGAGTCAAATAACCCCTTGTTCCACTAATGAGCTGCTTCTGTCCCTGTGAGAAAATCTGATTCCTATTAATGTGAGCAGCTGAGTCTGATTAAATAGAAGCCCTGGGTGTTTCTTCTCAATGACACTGGGCCAGAGCACAGGCTTCCACTGCTGCTAGAAGGAACACAAAACTGGTGAATCAAATAACAGGAAACTCTCATTTACCCAAAATTCAGTACAAAAACCAGGACACTCAAATATCCCAGATTTAACCATTCTGGACTTAGGATAAAGGAGAAAGTGGCAATGTACCAAAACAAGCAATCTGAATTAACAAGCTAATTAAATCGTTGAAAAATTACCAAAAAATCATGCTCTCGAAAGGAGATAGAAACCTAGGACCTAGAAATAGAAATTCCATTTGACCCAGCAATCCCATTACTGGGTATATATCTAAAGGATTATAAATCATTCTACTATAAGGACACGTGCACACGAATGTTCACTGCAGCACTGTTTACAATAGCAAAGAACTGGAACCAACCCAAATGTCCATCGATGGTAGACTGGACGGGGAAAATGTGGCACATATACACCATGGAATATTATGCAGCCATCAAAAACGATGAGTTTGTGTCCTTTGTAGGGACATGGATGAACCTGGAAACCATCATTCTCAGCAAACTGACACAAGAGCAAGAAGATCAAACACCGAATGTTCTCACTCATAGGCGGGTGTTGAACAATGAACACATGGACACAGGGAGGGGAGCACTACACAATGGGGTCTGTTGGGGGGAAATAGGGGAGGGTCAGTGGCGGGTGGGGAGTTGGGGAGAGATAGCATAGGGAGAAATGCCAAATATGGGGCGATGGGGAGGAAGGCAGCAAATCACCCTGCCACGTGTGTACCTATGCAACAATCTTGCATGTCCTTCACATGTACCCCAAAACCTAAAATGCAATAAAATAAATTTAAAAAAAAAAAAAAAAAGAAACCCGAAGCTGAGCTCCAGAGCAGCTGGGGTGACTCAGACAGTATCAGAGACATGGATGCCAATCTCCCATCCCAGGGGCTGGGCTGCTGGCCCAGATGTGGGAATCACATCAGTTATAATGCTTCAAAGCTAAAATCAAAGAAGCAACATCTTTATACCTTTCATTAGTCAACTACTTAACTAGTTAAAGGGTTTATTGACAGATTCAACCAATTCACCACCATTTGGTACTAAGTGTATTTTAATGTACTGTAATTCTTTGAAGACTGACTAACCATGAAACGCCTACCTGTGAACACCCAATCACTCAAGACTACTGCTAATTTCTATGCAACTTTTGCATGTTGTACTTAGCTCTATTGTTGCATATCTCATATTGAAATGTAGAAAATTTCATTACAGATCTATTACCCCTAGTGGCCAGTGAACTCCTTAAGGGCAAAATTTACATCTAGTACAAGGTATAGTACATAAAAAGACCCTCACCATTTGTAAGATGGATGGATGATAAAGTTTTCCATCTCTATATTCTTAGACTTACGCCTATTTACATATTCTAGTGGGAAGATATGGCCCATGTCTTTTCTCCTCCATTTCTCCAAGGCTTAAGACATTGCTCAATAGGTGCCTAATAAACATTAACCTATTTGGTCAGACTCCAGAATCCAAAGACACAAAGAAGCTTTCTGTTCATGAACATCTAAGTCCCAGGAAAGAGGTCAGAAATCCTAGCTATCTACCCTGTCTTGTATGCATTTGTGTATGTGTAGTCTCTTTTAACTGTAAAGAGTTTGATGCAGGACAACAAGCACACTCTCTAATAAGGAGTGGAAATACAGAAGTGAGCAAGATTAATCTTGTGGCTTCCCGCACAGAGCTTATTGTCTGAAACAAAAGACAGATATGAACAATTGCACACACACACAAAACCTAGCTACTATGCTCAGTGAGTCTCTTTAGGAAAAGGTTCTGTAAATAAGCCCAATCTTTAAGCAATCTGAATCTCTTTGAGGAAAGTGATGACCCTCCTAATGAATGACACACTTTCCTAAGAGCATCCTCTAAAGCAGTAATATGGAAAGTTTAGTATACATCTTTGTGATACAGCCCTCTATTTCAAAATGATCATGAAATGTTTTAAAAGACCAATTAAAAGCATCATAGATATGACTGCCTGTAAGTCTACATTTTTGTATAGAAATATATAGTATGTGTGACTTACCAAGGATAGCCGAAGCTGACCTGAAAACCTGCAAAAACCAGAAACTCCTAAAATAAGAGTCACTAGGTATTTGGGAGTCTAGAGATGTGTGTGTAGCTAGCAAGCAGGACAGAGGTAGGCAAGAGGACTCCTGAGGACCCCTGAAGTTCAGAATACTTTGACATGATAACAGATCTTGGGAATTTCAAATTGGCTGGGGAACTCTGTGAAAATCAGCAGGCAGGAAGGCAGAGATGAATAGAGGCCATGAAAAAACAAAATCTGAGGACAAAATCAAGAATATGAAGGCCAGGAAAGAACTGCCCTAAGGGAAAGAAACAAATGAAGATTCAAGAAAAGATGAAGATGCCAAAAGCTGTATGGCATGATATAAGATCTGAGGGAATATATGAGATGTCTGAACCAATACACGTAGTTTGCTAGAGTCAATAAAAGTTGAAATCAGACTACGATGCCAGCTATGAATCACAATAATGCTCCTGCCTCAATCTTAAGATATTTATCTTTCACTTAACATTTTCTGATGCTTTTAATTTAGACTTAGACAGAAATGCAAATAGAGTCATCTCCTCGGCTATGACAAAGTAAGGACTTCCCAATAAGCTGGGCAAATTTCTGGGTGACGCTTGCTGCAATGGATCCCTTCTCAAAACCTCATGACTGGAAGAAGTTAACCTAACTCCTAGCTTGCCTTTTTGGGTACAAACCTGTGACCCTGAGAGGAAAAGCCACGTATCTGGCTGATGGCAGAACTACATCCCAGTATTCCCAACTCTGATCCTTAAGTTTTCATCAATAAAAACCCTTTACCCCAAGCTTAATCCCCATCTCTGATCCTTAAGTTTTCATGAGTAAAAGCCTTAACCCCATGGCTGCTTAGCAACTGTCCCGCAGCTGCTCTTACCCACCATAAGCTCTCTGCTGCTCTCTCACCTGTCTGAGCAACCAGGTGTGTCCACCCACTCCAGACGGCAGTGACCTTTTCATTCTGGAAACAATGTGCTTCTATTTTCTGAGGCACAGTAAGGAAAGCAGCCTCAGTAGCCAGTTGCCCATGCTTGTTGCTTCCCCAAACATACACCTCTCCAGCATCTTAAACACACAGAAGGGGAACAAAAGAGGCGAGGGAACGTTAGTCCAAAATGATGGAAAATAACAGAGGTCTAAAAAATAAGTGGTTAAAAGAAGTTGTTTTACACTTACACTACAATGTTGAGTGGAACTAAAACTCATATACAGCATAATAACATATTATAAGTTTTTTCGAATTCTATACATAAAAAACAAGACCAAATGTTCTTAGTACTTTAAGAAATAAAAATGTATTATTTTTCTTTTCATTTTTTCATTCAACAAATATTTATTCAGCATCTACCTTGTGTATGAAACACATTTCTCTATTTTCTACATTTTTAAAATATATGCCAATACTAACTTTTGTATGAAAAAAAACGCTTTAACTTTTCAAAATAACAAGTTAAAAGATACACTGCTTAAATTTTTTAAACATAAGATTATTTCACTGCATGCCCTGACTAGCAGAAAATATAATGCTGTAGAATCACGTCTGGATAGCACTTCAGCATGCTTTAACCTCACAATAAATCCTGTGATATAAGCAGGAATGTGACTGACTGACATTGTGATTTAACAGAAAGAGAGCAAATTCAGAGTCAAGTGACTCTGGCTTCTATTCCTGGATCTGGTAACTAGCTATTGACCTTGGACATATCACTTCCTCTCTAAGCCTTAGTTTCACCAGCTGAAAATTGGAAGGGAAGGCAGTTGGTCTAGAAGGGCAGACAATGTGACTGAAGACACTGGTAACAAGAATAACTATTAGGTGACTGTGGCAAACCAGAGAGTACATGCCTATCTAAAGGGCATTCACATTCAAAATGTTTTGTAAATGAAAGCCATACAAAATGGGGCCATAGGCTATAATTTAGACTATGCCTCGTCAGTTTATCATTCCTCAGCTTTTCCAACCCTTATAATCCAAGAATCAACAACTGCACTATCCAACACAGCAGTTCACCACCTACATGTGGCTATTAAACACTTGAAATGTGGCTAGTCCAAATTAAGATACATTGTGAGAGAAAACACACAGTAGATTGCAAAGACTTAATGCAAAAAAGAGTGTGGCTGATTATAATTTCATATAGGTTGCATGTTGAAATAATACTTTGGATACACTGGGTTAAGTAGATATATTATTAAAATTAATCCCACCTGTTTCTTTTTATTTTTTGATTTGTGGTTCATATTATATTTCTATTAGCACTGTTCTAGAAGATAAATTAATCAAGGCTGGAAGATGTTAAATTACTTTTCAAGACCACATGGTTAAAAAGGATCAAGTAGGGACTAGAGGCCAGGTCTTCTGCTTTCACTGCACTTTGTAGCTTCCCAATAAAGCTTTATAGTATTGTTTGCCATAGGGCAGTCTAGTATATAACCAAAAACTGATGGAAAGTCAGACAACATCATTTAACGGCATTAGACTAAGGTTCAGAAGTCTCCAGTTCAAGCTCCATCTGCTACCAGATCACTGTTTGACATTGGGCACATCACTTCACATTCTAGGTCTGTTTCCTCAACTCTAAAATGAGGGAGTGTAAATCAGTGAAGCCTTTTTGTCACTTGGGTGACCCTGCAACACTGACATTCTGCAGTTCTATGAAGTGAATTTGGTGTATTTCATTCCCAGAGAGAGGGCAACCTCCTGAAGTTCATCAGGGTATGCAAAGTATAAAGATCTCTTACAACATAGCAAAAAAGCCCCCTGAGCAAAGTATCAATCCATTAAGTGGACTGGTAAGCTACAAAGATGCCACTGATGATAAGGCCTGTGTAAATGACTTCACTTACCTGAGTACATCTAAACCACCTTTTTGAAAGACAAACTGTCTTCCAGATGAGGATCATTATGCTGTTGCCTCAGCAGATAAAATTAAATTCTGCTGCAATGCCAATTAGTTACATAATCTACAACCACTCCAGAGAAAAGGTCTAAAGAGCACTGAACAAAATCCAATGTGTAACAGCTTGAACTAGGTGAAGAAAGAAAGGGCTAGTAATTTTTTTTTTTTTTTTTTTTTTTTTTTTGAGACCGAGTTTTGCTCTGTCACCCAGGCTGGAGTGCAGCGGCACAATCTCAGCTGACTGCAACCTCCGTCAGCTGGGGTCAAGTGATTCTTCTGCCTCAGCCTCCCAAGTAGCTTGGGTTACAGGCACATGCCACCACACCAGGCTAATTCTGTATTTTTTAGTAGAGATGGGGTTTCACCATGTTGGCCAGGCTGGTCTTGAACTCCTGACCTCAAGTGATCCACCGGCCTCAGCCTCCCAAAGTGCTGGGATTACAGGTGTGAGCCACTGTGCCCAGCAGGGCTATTAATCTCCACAAGTTTTAGCTCACTTTCAAAATATCAAAAACCATTTCACTTTGTGAATATACTAAAAATTACTAAACTGTATACTTAAAATGGTGAATTTCTTATATATAAATTATATCTTAATAAAAATATTCAACACCTATATATAAAAAACACCATAATAAAAGTGCCCCACATATGAAATAATAAATTTGCTACCAACAAGAATTTTTAAGAAGTTGATGTTGGCAAGCAATTAGACAAACTCTAGGTTTACATAACATCAGTTGTTTCAAATTAATTAGAACAAAAGAGAAGCACCTTGTAGTGTACTTTTATTCTCAGAAAAGAATGCCTTCACCATCCCTCATTGACTATGGGGTATGAACACATCACATCGCACCCTAAGATCTCCAGTCCTTCCTCTGTAAAAGGAAGGGAGGGACCAGATACCCAGTGGAGTCCCTTATAGTTGGCATTCATTTCAACTCAACACTTTTAACAAATATTAATATATAAATCTACCTGATATGAGACACAAGTTAAAAGTAGATGCTTTTTTATTAGTTGTTTTGAATTCATTAAGTAACAAATTATCTGCAGCTCAGAATTTGCAAAGCATTTAAACTCTCACATTACGGCTCCTATGCTCTTCAAATAACTTAGTTGGACTGCATTGCAAATTGGATGTCAAAGAATGCATATCACCATTAATTTACATATATTATGGACACACCTGCATTTCTACATAAAAACATTAAGTATGGAAGTCCCTCTTCTTTGCTTAAAAAATAAAATACATTCAACTCCAAACAAAATATTATAAATCTTTCAGATGTATAGTCTCCAGTCTACCAGCAGGGGTCAGGGCAATGTGGGCCAAAGAGAAGGGATAACTCACTTTCAAGAAAATGCTTCATTGCCTTGGAAGGAAAAGTCACTAGACAGTTTATACTGTATTGGCTCGGTGTTTCAAATGGAAGGATGAATGCACAGCCAAAGGGAGAGATATAGTGTAGGATTAAAAAAAGTTAAGATAGAAAAACATATCAAAGAGATGAATTAGAGAAATATAGAGAGAAATACATAAATTAGAGAAATATATAACAAAAATATATTTTAGATTCACAAAAATATATATCTAGAGTTAGATATATAGATACACAGATTATATGTTAAGACACAAAGATGAAAGATAAATAAAACAGATATATAGGTAAACAGAGTAGATAGATAAATGGAAATTGATAAATGGATTAGAAAGACATAGATGGATAAAATACTTTAACATTACACAGCTAATGAGTATACACAGGTAGAGAGCTTAGACAGTTATAATACACACCAAAGTAGATTAGATGGATAAGACAGTAGCTTCCACCCTCATAATCATAGGTATATGAGAAAACTACAAAGAACTCATGATTATATAATACACTGTGTTATCCATATATGTTATATATAAATTTACTGTTGATTATATGATTTGACAACCACCATTACCCTAAGACGGAGATATTATCCTTATTGTGTAGTTAAGAAAGCAAACTCAGATAAAATGAAATGAGCCTATGTTTGCTGTCCATGCTTTATATGTATTATATTTAATTTCCATAACTACCCACAAAGTCTTTTACAGACAAGAAGATGGTCTCAGAAAGGAAAAGTAATTTGCTGAAGAGCATACCAGTGGTAGTGTCAGAATTCTAGCTCCAAAGTCTATGACACTCCCTCTGAATTTCAATATCTCTATTTCAAGCAGTCACATACAGAATCCTGAATGGCACGTTAAACTGTCACAGAGCTGGTACCTACCTGTTAACGAAGCTGAGTGGTCTGAGCCAGCAATAACACACATTGCTTTAGAATTCTCTAGACCTACAAAAGAAAAAAATTTCTTTTGAATTACATGTATAACAGAACAAAATGGTCAGAGAGGGGACTTTCAGCCAGCACCACCTGGGTGTGGGAGAGACTCAGCCAGTGAAGGCAGGCCTGAGTCAGCAGCACTGGCCAAGAAGATGGCTGGCACTTCTTGTAGGGAGCCTGGTAACACACCAGGGGATTGAACAATCAAGTAAATATATTCAGGATAAAGGAGCCAGATTCATCACTCCCAAAGAGGGGAGGAAACGTATAGATATGAAAAGGGAAAAGCTAGAATCAACCATGTAATATTGGATAGTAATTGGAAAAATCAGTATAAATTCATGATTTCTAGTAGAGATAAATACACGTAGGTGTGTGTACGTAAAAATGTGTGTGTGTGTGTGTGTATGTGTGTCTGTGTGTGTGTCTATTTCCTAACTCTAGCGGTTGAGTGGGTCTAGAAGCAATGACATCTCATACATTCAGCTGCTATCAGATGCAAGCACTTAAATAACCCCAAGCCTCCTAAGAACACACAGCCAGAACCAGATTTTGAACTGGGCTCCTTTCTCCAAATTCAGCACTTTTCCTTCCTTAATTGCGCTGCTAAAAGTGGAGACAGACTGTGCTGACATGCAGTCTAGCATGCAGATAGACGCAGACTTATTCCGTAACTCTTTTTTCTGATACTTCTTTTTAATGAATCACTGTCTTAATAAAACAGCCCTCACACCTTCAAGTGTTCTCCGGAATGATAACAGGACAAAGCAGATGTTTTCACCCATCTTCACCAGAGAGGAAATACTGAGCCCCTAGTGGCCAGGTGAGGAGAGGACAACCAGGGTTCCAGTTCCAGAACCTTTGGCAATGAGGTGACTACAGGAGGATGAAATGTGAAAGACTTTGAGGACTAGAAGTTGATGATCCAGTCTAATGTCTCATCAGAAAATTCCCCCAAACCAACTCGGAATCTGAGCTGTGGCCTACCCAAACAGATGTCAAACAGGTTGTTTAAATCAAATAAAATAAAAAACATTTTTCCTACTAATAACAGGTCCTGTGCTAAAATATAGAGCAAAATGACACACAGTTTCCACCCTTTAAAAGTCCATAATCTTTAGCATATGAGAAAACATACAGACAATTCGTAATAATACAATATATTATGCCAGCCATGCATGTGAAGCTAATGCAGTAAGGGCTAGAAAAGAAAAGGTCTTTACTGAGAAAGGTGTATCTGAGCTAGGCCTAGAAAAATTCTTAAATTTTTTTCCCAGAGGGAACACAAAGGAAAAGGCATTTCAGGCAGAGGTAACAGTTTGCCCATAAGCACAGAGAAATGAAAAGGCAGGATAGGCCAAGGGAGAAGTGAACGCCTTGATGAAGAAGATAAAAATGTCTGAGAAGTCTAAGTTTATATTATACATGTTTCTAATGTCATATGAAGTGGACTACCTGTCCCATATCCTATGCCTCCTTCTCCTTTCTCAGAGTACCCTCCCCAGCTCATCCCATGGGTTTCAGGGAAACTAAGCCCACCCCTAGCTGAAAGAGAATACCTCCAGGACTCAGAAAAGTCAGAATGATCCCAACACTCAATTACATCACTCCCATTGCAACCCACCCTTCCCTATTCTTTCCCCACCCCTTCCCACCACCCTCAAAAGTTTCTGCTTTGTTCCAGGTGACAGAAGAAGTAGTTACGAGTCTCCTGTGTGAGTTTTTCCAGCCAAGCCTTGGTAAACCGGGTCACGAAGTAAAAGGAAAAAAAGGCAGAAGAGGAGATGGAGACATGATGCTGTATACAGAGGGAAAAAGGAGAGCAGAGAGAAAAAAAGAAAGACAGACAGAGGAAGAAGGGTAGGGGAAAAGAGAGGAAGGAGAAAATATAGACCAAATGACCAACAGACCTATGGGCAAAACACATATTACCTACTCCTTGTATCTTCACATAGCAAGATTTCCTTATGGGAACACTCCTGGCCCCTCTGTCTACATCCTCACTCACTCCTGCTTCCTTTTTGGGAGAACAAACTGGCCATGCACCCTCTTTGGGGTGTGCCTGCCTGCAGAGAGGGTACACCCTCACGTCCTCTTGGTCAGGTATTAAGTTTAGCAGGGCCCACGCTATGCATCTACCCCAGTGTTTGGTGGGTAAATTCAATCTGAGATTCAGAATTAGAGGCTCACTATGATGATATACTGTCTTCAAACCCCCAATCATGTCTTCCAACCTAGCTTTCAACAGTTCTAGAGTTACCATTCAATCTCCACCTACCTGACTTGCATCTATTCTTCAATGGGCTCCAAATTCTGGCAGCAAAGAGGGTTGCTTCTACTGGGCCCACAAAAAATGCTAGCAAGATTAACAGGCCAACTAACAGAAAAAGTTAGAGAGATCAAGAAATAACAAAATCAAAAATCCATTTAACCCACTTCTGCATGTCTATGTCTCTACTTCCTGACAAAGAATAAATATAGGACTAAAGAAATATGGGTCTCACCTGTCACTCTGCTCGGTTCCTTTGCTGTGAAAAATAGTGGAAGAGTCTGCCCAGGGCGCAACCGTCGTCCACATGATGCCAAACCAGTCCCCCACTGGAACACGATGCCACTCACTTCCCAACAGAATGGAAGAGAAAACAAAGAAGATGCACATCAGGATAAGACTAGATTGCTCTTTGAAACTCACTGCTATGAGAAATTCCCAATTCTTTCTCAATTAATGTGAGTGTTATGGAGAAGCTCAATTGCTTCAAGAGGTCCTATAACTGGTCACAGGGATTACCACCTAGCCAATCACAAATCCAGTCTTCAGGACAGTCTAAGACCATCAAAGTAAATTCCAATACCACATAACTTCTACAAAAAGTTCCAGGATACTCCTCCAGAGTCAAATCACTGGAATGACACCTTATTCATAATTAATCTAAAAAGATAACTCAGACCTCAGACATAGCAGAAAATTATCAAATCCATTTGATAATTATCATTATCATTTGAAGATTATCAAATCCATTTCTCACATTTAGTAGAGGAGAAAACTGAGGCCCTGAAGAGAGGATGTGATTTGTCTCCCCACACAGGAAGGTAATGGTAGAGAAATGCCAGGACTCAGCTCTCCTAACATCTAATGTAGTACCCTTTCCACAACACCAAGATGAATTCAAAGATTCCTAACTGCCACATAACTACAAATGCATGACTGCAAGATAGCTTCTTAATAACCATGATTTCAGTGGAATGGGCTTTTACTTTCATGTCCACTGAATCTAATTGATGTTCCTATGTTCTGAATCTCATACAAATGCAAAGATGAAAGTCTAGATATTTGGTCTATAGTTAGGTGTGTGCAACTAGGATCCATCACTCAACAGCAGCATTACAGTCCTGATCCTTTGTGAGTATCCTATAAACAGCAGTCCTTTTTCAGGCTGTAAACAGACAAGCCTGTTTTGTAAAAATAAGCTATGACCACTGAGCGCAATGTGAGCAAATCACAGTGTGGAAATAAAAACTTACAATCTCTTCAACAAATTGATTTTAAGAGAAAAAAAGGAAAAAAATTTATAGATTAAAAGAGACTTCAGATAGCTAACAAGAGATTAATATCCAGAATATATAGAGAACTCCTAAAACTCAACAACCAAAAGAAACAACTCAACTAAAAAATGGGAAAGAAGTAATTCCAGCACTTTGGGAGGTTGACATGGGAGGACTGCTTGAGTCCAGGAGTTTGAGACCAACCTGGGCAATATAGTGAGACCTCATTTCTACAAAAAATTTAAAAATTAGCCAAGCATGGTAGTGTACGCCTGTAGTTCCAGCTGCCCAGAAGTCTGAGATGGGAGGATCACTTGCACCTGGGAGGTGGAGGTTGCAATGAACCATGAACACATCACTGCACGCCAGCCTAGTTGACAGAGGGGACCCTATATTAAAAACACATACATATGCATGCATGTGTGTGTGTGTGTGTGTAAATGTGTGTGTGTGTGTGTGTGTGTGTGTGTGTGTGTGTGTTGGCATGGGAAGAACTATGTCCCCCTAAAATTCAGGTGTTAAAACCCTAATGCCAATGTGACTATATTTGCAGATAGGCTCTATGGAATGCAATAAAAGTTAAAAGGGGTCATATGTGTAGGGCCTTAATCTAATAGGACTGGTGTCCTTATAAAAAGAGGAAGAGACATCAGAGATCTCTCCCTCTCCACAGGCACACCCAAAAAAGGCCATGCAAGAACAGAGCAAGAAGGTGGTCACCTACAGGCCAGGAAGAAAAAAAAACTCACAAGAAACAAATCCTAACAACACAACAATCTTAAGACTTTTAGCCACCAGAATGGTGAGAAAATAAATTGTTGTTTAAGCCTCCCAGTTCGTGGTATTTTGTTATGGCAGCCCTAGCAGATTAGTACTGTCGTACATCCATACCAAGGAATACGAGTCAGCAATAGAAATGAATGAATTTGTGATACACACAACTTGGATGAATCTCTAGGCAATTATGCTGAGGGAAAAAAGCTGACCTCAAAAGATAATATACTGTATAATACCATTTATATAACATGTTTGAAATGACAACATCATAGAGATGGAGAACAGAAGAGTACTTAGCCTAGGGCTAAGATGTGGATATAGGCAGGTAGAAGTGGATGTGGCTATGAAAGGGCAACATGAATGATCCCTGTGGTAATGAAACTGTTCTGTATCTTGACTGTATCAGTGTTAATACCCTCATTATGTTACTGTACTATAGTTTTGCAAAATGCCATTAGGGGAACCTGGGAAGAGAACACACGGGCTCTGTCTTATTTTTGAGGCTGCATGTGCATCTACAATTAGCTCAAAATAAAAAGTTGAATTTTTCTTAAGTGTAATGAATTCTAAGCCCAGGATTATCAGCACAGTGCGGCACTGAGCTCTTCCTCACCTCCTCTCTCCTTCCTCCACTCCACAACTGGACTCACGAAGCACTTGAGCCTCAGCTGCCACAGCCAATTAATGCTGTCCTTCAGTTCAAAAGGAGTGAGAGCAGAGAAAAATGAAAAGGGGAGAGATAAAAGGGTCACTGTTCTCCCACATGCTACCTCCCTGCCCCCCTCAGTCCCATCACCCACTCACAGGACAGGAGACCAGCTCACTTGAAGCTTTTAAATTAATCAACATTAAAATCCATTAGGAAGGCAATGCAGTTCCCAGCAAAGAATATAAGCCTTAGGCTCCAAACCATCCCAGGCTCTGATCCCAGCTCTACCTTACCCCCTGTGTAAGCTTACACAAGCACTTTAACTCTGTGCCTCAGTTTCTTAACATGTAAAATGTAACTCGCATCACTTCCTGGTTGTGAGAATTAAATGAAGTAACTAAGCAACAGCACCTAGCACCATACCTAGAACATAAAGAGCTAGAAAACTTCATTTCCTTCTTCTCTACCTGCAGAAAGAAGTCTTTCCCACATGACTTCTGCCTTATGTTCTCCTTTTAATCAGAACCACAATGCAGCAGGACCCTTTGAAATATTCCTTAAGGGGTTTTTCTCCTAAGTTCAGTTTCCCCTTATTACAGACCTATTTTAAAAAGGGGGGCATGGGCTGGGCACAGTGGCTCACACCTGTAATCCTAGCACTTTGGAAGGCCATGTGGGAGGACTGCTTGAGGCCGGAAATTCAAGACCAGCCTGGGTAACATAGTGAGAGTCTGTCTCTACAAAAATTCTTTAAAAGTTAGCAGGGCATGGTGGCATACACCTATAGTCCTCGCTACTCAGGAGGCTAAGGCAGTCAGACAACATGGGCTCAGGAGTTCAAGGCTACAGTGAGCTGTGATCAAGCCACTGCACTCCAGCCTGGGCAACAGAGTGAGACCCCCATCTCTAAAAATTATTTAAAAATTAAAACATAAATGGTCACCTGTAGCAGCTAATGCATGCCTCAGTCCAGCAGCAATACAAACAATCTTCTCTTCATGGAGCTGTCAAAGTAAAGAAAAGGATTTAGATCTCAGAACCATCCAACTACAAAATTTTATGTAATTTATACCCAAATGCAATGCAGTATGGTCCTCATTATGTGTCTCACTGGTTTAAAGCAACCACTCCCCACAACACTTCCACCCATAAATACCTCTATATTTATCCCTAAAAGAAAAACATATATCTTTTAAAATACTGTAACACAATACCACATGACAACAACTCTCAGGGCTGGGAGACACTTACAAGTTCATCTAGTTCAAGAGTTAGTAAATGTTTTCTGTAAACGGACAGATAGTAAATATTTTATAGGCCATGCGGTTTCTGTCACACTACTCAGCTCTGCCATTGTAACATAAGAGCAGCTTTCAACTATTCATCAACGAATGAGCATTGCTCCGTGCCAGTAAGACTTTATTTACCAAGGGCTCAAAGTTGCCCAACCTGATCTAGTCCAATCCCCATCCAAAAACACCCCACCAAGTGGTCATCCAACCCCTGCCAAACACCTACCTCCAGTGACACAGGGATCGCCACTTCCCCAGGTGCGTGCTCCATCTTTGCACAGTTCCATTTATCTCTTTAGGTGGAACCAAACCTATCTGCCTGCAGCTTCTGACAATGCTTTCCAAATATTTGAAGACAGTTGTCATGTCCTCCCTAAGACATCTTGTAGTGGTTTTAAAAATAGGTCCTCAAATTCTTTGCTACTCCTCCCTTCAAGATGTAGCTTAATACCCCTCCCCCTGTGTGGGCTGGACTTAGTGACATGCTTTTAATGAAGAGAATGAAGAAGCAATGAGTGACTCAGAGACTAGGCGAAAAAAGGCACTAAAGCTTCCTGCTTAGCATCTCTCTCTCTCTCTCTCATCATGCCTGGGGGAAGCCAGATGCCATGTCTGAAAAGTCCTATAGAAAGGTCCACATGTCAAGGAACATGAAACCATTAGGGCTTTATCACATTTGTTTATTTAGAGGTCCATGTAGATTGCATGTAGACCCAGCTAACATCTCAACTGCAACTTCATGAGAGATCAGCTAAAGCTGTTCCTAAATTCCTGACTCTCCAAAACTGTGACATAATAAATGTTTGCTGTTTTAATTTGCTAAGTTTTGGGGTAATTTGTTACACACCAATAGATAACTAATGAAGATCTTTTCTTTAGGCAAATATCCCAGTTCATCAGCCATCACTGGGTTTCATATGTCCCTCTCCTCCCAGTTTCTCTTCTCTAAATATGCTCTAGTTTTTCAATCTTTCTCTTTTAAAGGAACTGTATAGCACCATTAGGGCTTATCACATTTTTTTGTTTACAGGTCCACAGTGTCTTTCTAAACTTTAGGACCCTCAAGGGCAGGATCTGAGTCTTACATACCTTTATGCCCAGGGCCTAAGCATCAAATGCATAGCAAAACACAGCATCCCAGATGCAAGCTGACTGAGCTCTGGAAACTATACTTCTGTCAATGGAGTCCACAATCACATTAGCTTTTGGGAAGATCAAGTCTTTTTGTTAATACAATTTGAACATATTGTCCTTTAAATTTGGCTTTTGTTTTTTCCCCAAAAAACTAACTGAAGGGCTTTACATGTGATTTCTCTTTAACATCACTCACCTCCATCTCTTACTCCCCGCATCCCAACTGTGGCTGCTTTAGTTTGGGCCACAGTTATGTCACGTGGATTGTTAGCAAGAGTTTCCTGAGTGATCTTCCTTCAATCCATCTTCCGCTACCCTATCTCACCTCCCTACCATGCTGTTCTTACCATATGTCAGATACAACCACCCTGATTGCCCGATTCCCACCTACTGTACCCTGGAACTCCCACCTCCTCCTTATATTCCAACCATACTAAATTACTCACAATACCCCAAATTATCCTGTTTTATACTTCTCCACCGTTGCTTACATGGTTCCTTTTGCCTAGAATGTTTTTCTTTTGCACCCACTCTGTGCATCCTCCTAGCCCAAGACAGTTGTAAACCTGTTCTCACCCCACCTTCCTCTACATGTTCAATACTCCCTCATTTGGGGATATACATGCATCTATCATAGTTCTGACATGGTATTACATTTAAGTATTTATGTGCCTATCACGTACTACCAAACTAATAAAACTCTCAAATGCTAGGACAGGTCTTATTCAACTTTGTTCCCAATGTCTAAACATAGTACCTACATATAATGGTTGCCATTAAATAAATGAATGAATTTCTATTAAATTTCACTTTGGCACATTGCTCCTATTATTGCACAGAATATCATCTGTCAAAATGTTTTTACTTTCAGATTCTGTCATCCAACATATTGTTCCTCTATTCTTTAATTATATAAAGAATAATTAAGCTAAATTAATTATAACTTATATGTAGGTTCTTACAAGGCCATCTATTTGCAATTGGGAGCTATAACACTTCCTTCAGGAACTACAGAGCCTAGACTTGTGTGCATACCATGGGAACCATGACCCCAAACAACAGTCCCCAGACCAGCAACTGAGTTCAGCAAGATGGCAGGAGCAGACCCAAGATTTCTGCAGGAAAAAAGATCTCCCACTAGTAATCAGAGTTTAGGGAAATTAGATAGGAGTGGGGCAGCTTAGGTGGTAAAACTCATTTTTGATTCAAGCATATTTCTTTAAAAATTCTATATTCCTATTATGATCGCTTACAATACAAACTTCACAAAATGGGGTACATTTTAAGTATGATGCACTGAAGTAAAGAGCTCTGAACTAGGGCCAAGAGTCCTGTTTAACACTTGTTTTGTCCAGTATGGTAGCCACTAGCTACATGTAGCTCTTGAGAACTTGAAATGAGATTCACTAAACTAACACATATTGTGGGTAAAAAATACACACCAGAGTTCAAAGACTTAGTACAAAATCAGCACAAAATATCTTGTTAATAACTCTTATACTGATGACATGCTGAAATGATAATAGTGTAAATACACTGGATTAATTTAAAAGTGATTAAAATTAATTTCAACTACATGCTACAACATGGACAAAACTTGAAAGCATCAAGCGAGGTAAAAGAAGCCAGGTCACATATTTAATGATTTCACTTCTATGAAATGTCCAGGACAGGCAAATCCACAGAAACAAAAAGTAGATTAGCTCTCACCAGGGGTTGAGGGGAAGGGAGAATAGGAATTGACTTCTGTTAAGCACATAGTTCATTTTGGTAGTAATGAAAATGTTCTAAAATAAGGTAATGATATTGGTTGCTCATCTCTGTGGATATACTAAAAGCCACCAAATTATACATTTTAAAGAGGTTAATTTTATGGTATGAGAATTATAGCTCAATAGTGCTGTTATTTTAAAAATTAATTTCACCTGTTTCCTTTTAAATGGGGCTACTAGAAAATTTTAAATTACATATGGCTCACATTATATTTCTACTGGATAGCACTGGCCTATACCATTTGCCTAGCTTAGTGTCTTTTGACAAATCACTTCTATCTGAACCTATTTCTAACATAAATTCCATTATTACTAATTTTATAACTGTAAAATGTCATTAATATCCTTATGAGATGTATTACTTTTATTGTTTTATTTCGCAAAACTTTATAAAGTATATGAAAACTAACGGGGGTTTTCATTCACAACGTCTACCTCCCAACTTAATTTTTCCCAGAAGGACCTATTTTTCAACTCAAATTCTCCTACCCCATGGGTTTTCAGCGATCCTGAGAGCCTTTTATTCTGGGGAGGGATAATGTAATACCTTGGAGACACTTTAAATGGTCATGGGCAAGCTAAATATTAATTTTCCTCACCTCAATGGCCTGGGGAACCACACATCTTCGAGGTCCATGAGGAGCTCCTAACTGGCCAAAGGAGTTGGATCCACATGATAGAACTTGACCATTTTCTGCAAAACACAAATACTTAAACATTGCAAATCTGTGAAATAAGATGTCTGTGCCCAATGCGTAATGCTGAGGGGTGAGGGGAAGTGCTTCAGTGAATTCAGACCATATTCTCTGCTTTTATTCCTCTGGGAATGAAAACAGTGGGCACCAGGTTAAGCATTCTACACAGATTGTCTATTCTGTTATCTCATTAATAACAGATTATCTGTGTAGAACACTTAACTCAGTGCCTAGTACTGGGATGGGAAGATACTAATTTCCCACTTTCCGTGTTTCCATGTGACAAAATTTCCATTAGCATAACACTCCACCCTTTCTCCCTTTCTCCCCATCCTCGATGCTTTCTAGGGGACAGGGGTCTAGTAACCAATTGGTGAGTCTGGGAGAAGGGACAGGACATGTGTGGCTTGGCACCTCCCTCTCAGTCACTCTAGGCTGACACAACAGGAGCATTTCCCAGTGGGGAAAGCCTAGAGATCTGGGGGCAAGTTTGGACCAGAAGAATATTAGGACCACTTAGCCTCATAATTAATCCTGTCCTCCAATTTAGCCTTTATCAGTGAAAGGCCAATAGTTTTTGATCTCCAATACTGACTTCTCTGTGCCTTTCTCACAATAGGCTCCAAATGTGAGCAGGAAAGAGTGTTATCTACCGACTCCTTATAATCCAATATAGGCTCACAATAAATACTTCATTAATGATAGCCATTATTTAGATTCTAATAAGTACCATCAAATTCAACATATATTACAGAACCCCTCCACAGAATGGTGACACTTGAGCAGGGTTTTAAAGCTGAGATTCGAGTTCGTCAGATAGACAAGAGGAACTGGTCCAAGCAGAGAAGAGCATGACTGCTTGGTATGACTAGAAAGAAAAGTAGGAGGAGTGTGGAGAATAAGAGACAAGGCAACAGAGATAGCTACGGAACAGCTACAGAAGGCCAACACTAAAAAACTAGGAATCTAAGCTGTGTCTGGGAGAATCCACAAGGGTTTACAACAGGAGAGTGACGGAAGATGCCCTTGCCAGAGGACTGTGATAGAGAGCCTGGCCAGAAACCATAGATGGTCTTTTAAATCCAGGATGGCCAGCTGGACAGAGCAAAGCTGAACAGAGGTCAAAACTGCTTCAAGGGAACAGACATCAGTTGACAAAGTAACTACTGCTGGCTGCTCCCAAGAGTATTATTCTATTAACCTTTTGGCCATATCCTATTCTGCTACCTGGCCTCACAAAGGCCAAACAGATCTGTCCAACCCCGTTTATTTTAAAAAAAAAAAAAAAAAAATCCCTCAGTAGGAAAAAGCTGCCATCACTGCTTTGGCAACCACTATTCCCTCATATTCTCCTACCACATTCCCCGTGAGTAACCCTTAGCTGCCACTGCTGGCCACTGGCCAGCTAGCCCAGGCACATGGCTATTATGAACTTTTGGGACAGGAAGTGGCCACCAAAGGTTATCTAGTCTATTCCCTACTCTCTGATCCCAATCACCTGTACTGTTAAAACCAACCTTGGAAAAGGTACTCCACAACTTTTCTTGACAACCAGAGGGAAATTTTGTAGGTGCTTTTCATTTATTTTATATTTATCTATTTATTTAGAGGCGTAGTCTTGCTCTGTCACTTTGGCTGTGGTACAGTGGTGCAATCTCGACTCACTGCAACCTCCACCTCCCAGGTTCAGGCGATTCTCCTGCCTCGGGCTCCCAAATAGTTGGGACTACAGAGTAGTTGGGACTACAGACATGGGCTACCATGCTCAGCTAATTTTTATATTTTTAGTAGAGAAAGAGTTTCACCATGTTGGCCAGGCTGGTCTCGAACTCCTGACCTCAAGTGATATGCACGCCTAGGCCTCCCAAAGTGCTGGAATTACAAGCGTGAACCACCGTACTGGGCCTTCTGTGTGCTTTTTAAACACATAGAGGCCTTCATTTAATCAGCAGTCACCACTATCACATTATTCTCACCTGGTAATAAAAATTTATCTAGGAGTGAACTCACCAATGAGTATAATGGTAAAATCCCAGCCACAGGCCACCTGTTGGATGGGACAGCCAAGGAGGGATTTGCAGGGAGTAAAATATGGGACATCCTCTGTGTGACCAAGCCCCAGTTGCCCATCTTTGTTCAGGCCACAAACAAAGAGGTCCCCTTCATCTGCAAAATATAAAGGCATCAGTGATAGTGTGCCCAGGGAAAAACACAGCTGCAAAGTGAACAAAAAGATTTCACTAATTATTTGGAGTCTCATACCAATAAATTTTTTTCCCATCCAAGTTAATAAGCTACGTATGTTCATGTATTCTGGAGCCAAGTGACACAGGGCCAAGGGCCTCAAATCTAATAACTACATAGAAACTTCAATCAATCACCAAACTGAGCATCTACTAGAACAAAAAGCCAACATTTAGAATGCAGCAGTTACTGTCTTAAGAGCTTTTGTGCAGGGCGGACTTATCCTGTAGGCACAGTGTCTAGGGCCTAAAATGCTTTTAGAGGCCCACAAGAGTGGCTTAATTTTTAGTTATTTTGAAATGAGGAAAAGAAAAATAATGTAATAACAATGCATGTATAATACTAAATCTGGAGTGGATTCTATTAATATTCCTCTTTATACCAACACAGTTGTAAAATATAATTTCATTTATTTACGAAGGAAGGGGTCCATAAAGGCAAAAGCACCAAGGACCCATGACAGTCAGAGTGGAGCCCTGCTAATTCACTGGTTCTCTTCATTCACCATTATTATCCTCATGTAATAGATTCAGAAACTGTGGTTATTTGCCCAAGGCCACATAGATAATTAGTCATAGAACCAGGATGTAAACATACACATTTGATTCCAGAGCTCATGTTCTTAACCAGCTGCAACATGCCCCCTTTACAACATTGTAGCACTTGTACTACTTGTTAAGTACTAGCCTAGATACAGTAAGGGAAGATTAAGGGAAATACACAGTTTCCGCTCTCAAGAAATATCCAATCTAATTACAAACACCTCTAACTCCTATTGTGTAAAATATACATTGTAACTCTGCCACTAATTTGCCTTGTGATGTTAAGCAATCAGCGTTTCTTTCTGAGTTCATTTGCATAATGGAGGAGGTTGGGGTAAGGGGTGGCCTAGAAGATCTCTGAAGTCCTTCTAGCCCTGATAATCTAGGATCCTCTGATGGTAACTGGCTCTTTCACAAAAATGTTTCACAAAAATATATTCTTTTCCTCTGCAAAACTAAAAAAAAAAAGGCTGAGAGATGGCAATATAATGTCCCAGGGAGAAATGTCTAAATAAGAAAATGAATGACTATCTACTTTTGAAGGAAGTTACCTGTGACAATTGCAGAATGGCCCCCTCCTCCTGTGATCCTCCTGATACACCTGGGTTTACAGAAATCATTCAGTTGCTGGGGCAATAGCACATCTTCCTTATGGCCAAGGCCAAGCTGCCCATAACTGTTTGCACCCTAGGGATGAATAAGCCAAGGATGAAAAAGTGTGGGGACTATAAGTGTCAATGTCCACTTACCTGTCTCTACCTTTCTCACTCTGACATATCTCGCGGAGCCTATAACAGATGAGATTTCTTAGGCTCTTTTTTTTTTTTTTCTCTCCTTCATGGCAAATACAGCACTGTTTATTCAAACATATAATAACAAGCACCAGAAAACAACATGTAACACTCTCTCCCCACCCCTGATCTGCAATCCCATAAGTAAGAGACTCATAACCGTAACAGTGGAGGAAATTCAAGTCCAGGAAAGTTCCTAGGTAGGCACCCTGACGGGCTTAATCTACTTAATGCCCTGCCTCTTGGCCTCCTGCAACAGCTGAAGAAACCACGTTTTTCCACCTCAGGCCCCAGAAGGCAAAGCAGCGATGCCAGTCATGGCTGGAGGGGACACGTGTCCTATGAGGTACTTGGCCTAGCCCAATCCTCTGGAGGTAACAGGATAAAGCCGCCCTTCCTCTTAGGGTGGCCATGAAAAGAGAGGCCATAGCCTAAATCAAGGCTCTTTTGACTGAGAATAACACAGCCTCTTGAGGAGGAGAGCCTTCTCTGCTCCAGAGAGGAATTCTGGGCTGCGAGTACTTAGCAGGAGTAACTCATATTTCTCTTTACCCCCTTCCCTCGCCCCCTCACCTCCCATGCCACTTCATGCTTTCCCTAGCTGAACTTCAGCCCCCAAATGAGAAAACTATCCAGTACATTTCAAATAAATTATAAATATGGACACAGAATCCAAACAAAGTTCCAGAAGCTGCTCACAGACCCCCACAGGGGCCAGCCCAAAGAAAAACGAAAGTCATTCCTTTGTTCTCTGTGTCTCTGGAGCTGTGGGCTAAACTGTCTTCCCTTGTCCATAAGTAATCATGGGGACAGCTCAGGACAGAGAGGCTTTCAGACTTAGAAACTCTCTCACCCCATCTCCTTTCTGCCCTCCTCAAATCCCTTCCCCAAAATCTAAAATGAAAAATAATAATCATAATAATTCGCTCATTGAAAGACTCCAGAGCATTTGGGAATGTAAATCTTACCTCTCCCTTCTGAAGTGGGAAACTGACCAAAGAGGAAATAACTGGTCAGTCTCATTCTTAACGGCTGTTATATGCAACCCATATTTAGATGGAGGCCCTATCCTCAGAACACCATGATTTCCATATGAGAAGAGTCCTTAGCATCCATAACTCATCCAGTGATATTCCTCATCTTTCCCTGCTTATGCTCCAGCCCTCACATACTGCCTTTGGGAGATAGCACAGGGGTTCCTTCTGATAAAAGCTACCTACCTAGGGAAGCTAAGGAAAGAAAAAAATGAGGAAAAAATTGCACCAAAATGGGAAAGAAACAACCTGGAATTCGTTCTTGTTCCTCCTCCCCACACCCTCACTGGGAAAACTGGCAATGACTCTGGAATCAAAGTTGGCTAAGGATTTTGTACCTTTAAGCAAGGCACAGCATTTTTTCATTTGCAGTGAAAGAGGTTGGCAATGATCTCTAAGGGCCATTCCAAGTACAGTGCTGTGTAACTCCAAGATTCACATGGTAAGATTCCAGTAAGGGGACAGATTTCCCCTTGACAGGCAATATGTCTATTATTATTATACAATAAAGGTCCATAATCCCTAATCTGAAATGCTTGCAGTCAAATGTATTTCAGATTCAGAATTTTACAGCTTTTAGAAAAGTAATACAGTATATATGTCATATACACTAACGCAAAGTCCAGGGACAGCAGCCCATAAGCAAAACAATAGTATTTCTGCATTAAAAAGTACAAATATTCATAAGATGTGGCCAAAGACTATAAATGGTCTTATGTCCAGTAAGTTGTGGGTTTTCAGAGCTTTTTGAATTCAGAATTGAAGATAAGGGATTGAGGACCTGCAGAGAGAATCTTACTAAGACTTCAGAAATTCTAATTTATTCAAGTATCTACTCTTAGCTGGTTCTTCCTGGAGATGAGAAGTAAAATCTTTTACATATGTTTGTTTTTGAAGACACCTGAATGAGGAAAGGTGATGTAAAATAATTACAAAAAAATACACACATACATACAAAATCCTTCCCCCTATAAGTCTATTGCATGGCCATCCTGGGCTGCAAGGGCTCAAAGATGGAAGAGTAAGCCGTGGCAGGGGCATAAGTCCCAGAAGCTCATGGGGGCAACATTAGCTACCAATTACTGAGTGCTTCTCTCCACACTTTGCATTCACCTTTAATCTTCACAACAACTAAGAAGGACATTATCACTCCCATTTTACAGAGGAAGACACTAAAGCTCAGAAAGTCTAAGTAACTTTCCATAGTTACATCTGCGTAGGCAACAAGGCAGATGCCCTGCTCCTTTTACTATACCTTATTGTGTCTCTTAAAAAAAAGAAAAAAAGAATATATGATGAAACAGCCCAGAGCTTACCTGGCAGGAGGTTAACTATATGACTTTATCTAAAATAGCATCCCGATATCACTCATTTTCTACTTTATTTTTCTTCATTCCACTTCTTGATGTTACATTATATATGTTTACTTGTTTACTGTAAACCTCCCCTTTTAGAAACTAAACTCCAGGAGGGCAGGAACTCTGCTTTGCTCACTGCTATTTCCCCTGCATCTGAAACTGTGCTAGCCGAAAGAAGATGTACATATATTTATACAGGGACTAAATGTAAGACTATGAAAGACTATTGCTCAGCATGAAGGGGAATATAGAGTATACATGCACAGGATTTCTTGGTCAGCCCTGAGATCTCTGTGGCTGTCCCATTACCAGGGGTGCAAGGCTGCTGAACACATGGGAGAAAGGTACTATGACACATGGGCTCTGAGGTTCAAATTATGGTACCAATTTTTGTGATGCTGCCAGAGGCCCTAAATCCAGGATAAAGCAAGACATAGTAAAATTTAATACAACCAATTACAACTGTTATTAGACTTTCTTCCTTACAAACACTCCAGACATACATATATGCACACATACACACACACACACACACACACACACACACACCTCACAAGGTAAATCCCCTTCTGGTGGACTGAACTTTATTCCCCCAAAATTCACATGTTGAAGCCCTAATCTTTCCAAATACTACTGTATTTGGAGAGAGGGCCTTTAAAGGGGCAGTTAAAGTTAAACAAGGTCATAAGGGTGGGGCCCTAATCCAATATGACTGGTGTCCTTACAAGAAGAGACACCAGGGATGCTCACACACACAGAAAGAGCCGTGTGAGGACACAGTGAAAAAAGCCATGTGAGGACACAGTGAGAAGGCGGCCATCTGCAAGCCAGAGAAAGGCCTCGGGAGAAACCAAACCTACTCAAACCTTGATCTTGGCCTTCTAGTCTCCGGAAATGTGAGAAAATAAATGTCTGTTGTTTAAGCCTCCGTTGTGTGGTATTTCGTTCTGGCAGCCCTAGCGAACCAACACACCCCCGCCCCAGTTTCAGATTATGCAGCAGCAAAAACACACCACCAAACCTCCAAACATAGCAGTAGGGTGACGTTCAACAATCTATTAAACATATTTTAAAACCTCTAATATTTGGCCTTGTCTGCACTAAAACCATTATTTCTGTTTCCGTACAGACAAGAATATTAAAAGTTGTTTCTGTCCGATGTTTCCTCTGTCTACACAGACGCCAGTCTCCTGCCTAGAAAATTCAATCTCCAACTCCACTCCCAGCTCCCGGGCCACCTCAAAGACGCCCAGCCAGTCAGACTACCGCAGGCCACACCATGCTCTCTCCCTCCTGCCAAACTGCAGCCCCGCATTCAACAAGTGCTCACCTTTACTGATCATGACATCTTTAAAAACGGGTCAATTAATACTGATTTTTACAGCAATACCGGTTATAATTTTGCTCTTCCCAACATAAGAGCTGGAAGTCTTTCACTCATGTGTATTTCCCAAACCACCAGCACATGGCTAGGCACACATATGCTCCTTCATTCATTTGTCAACAGGTATTTACTGGGGACCTTCAATGTGCCAGACACCAGGAGAGGCACTGGCACCCCATCCACTCTTACCACACTTACTTTCTAGCCAGGGAGATTGACGTTAATAATAAATTATACACATCATTACAATTGTGATACATGCTATGAAGCAGCATAAGACGCAGCAACTGCTTGTTCCCATGCATGCTGGTCGGCTGCCTGGCACACTCCGGTGCACGAACCCTCCTCTCCCCCGGACACACATCAGGATGACCCTGTCTCTCCCAATGCTCCCGTCAAACCAACAGCAACCCAACTCCCGCAAGACAGGCAAGAACTGGTCACAGCAGAGCATCAGCAAATAGGCAGGGTCTGTGCGGTGTGCGCGGCCAAATACCGCAGGCCTCACATCCAAAGGATGTTCTCGCCAGGCTGGGACAGGGCCTCCATCCTCCAGGCATCAGGAGAGTGGGGAGCACAGGTGTCCCCACGGGGCTCTGGGACCAGGCGATCCTCTCCACAGAGCCCGCCGCGCTGTCTTCCAGGCGCTATCCGGGCCAAAGGGCTCTCGCGGAACCAGACGCTCAGCCCCGAGGCAGGATCGCTCCGAGGCAGGTTCTTCCCGGCGCCACAGCCCCTCCGGCCCCGACCCCGCCAGCCAGCAGGCCCCTAAGTCTACCGCGAAGACCCTTCCCTCCCTGCTCGCTCCTCCTCCGCTCCCAGCCCAGGAGCCTCCCACCTGGAGCCCGACTCGGACCTCAGCAGCCCAGCGCCTGAACTGCCCACGCCAAGGCCCGGAGCTCCCACGTCCCGGCACCCCTCAGAGTCGGCCCCGGCCCGGGGGCGGAGTCACGTACCCAGGCGAAGAGCGCGGCCGCCACGGGGGCGGCCTCCGAGGCGCTGGGCTCGCGCTCCATGCGAGGGCGCTCCATGCGAGGACGCTCCGCCGGCGCTTCCGGGAGGGATCGCACGCGGGCGGGGCCTGTTGGGGACGGGTGGGCGCGGGAACTCCTGGCGCGAGGACTGGACCGGGGACGCGGGATCGCGTGGGCGCGGGGCGGGGTCTGTGGTGGGAAGGGGCCCGCGGGCCTAGAGAGGAGGTGCGGCCGCGCCCTCCGGCCGCCGGGGACCAGTGACTAGCGGGGCCGGACGACAGCCCCGGGGCCGCCTCCTAGTCGGCCCGCCCCGGCGCGCTCGCAGCGTCCCCTCCCGCAGCCTCCTGTCGCGCTGGGCCGCTAAGCCTCTCGCTCCACCCCCTCGTACGCTTTATTTTTAGTCATAATTTCATGTTGCATGCAGGTGCACTGCGCGCCACCGTTCACAAAGCTCCTTCGCGTTTTTGTCTTCTTGAAGTCCCTCGACAGCCCAGAGGGGCTGACAGGGCAGGGATGGCATCACCATTTGCGGGAGCAGGAAATGGAGCCTGAGGGGGCGGGCGGGGTTCTGCGAGGCGTCTCGGGCGCAACTGCCTGGAGCCCACTTTGGTCTGCGTTCGCAAACATCTGAGGGGGCGCCTTGGGAGGCGAGCTGAGTGGCACGTCGCGGGTGTCGCCCTCTAAACCTGGCATGGAGCCACAACTCGCGCCTCGAGACGCTGAATGGGGGAGGCTGGTTAGCGTCGACTCCTGCTGGGGCAGCCTCCGCGCTCTGGGCACGGTCCTGCGCTCATTCTATTAATGCTGGATAACTTTCACCCAACGAACATTTCCATATAAAATGTCTTTTCCCAGACAGTGTCGTGTTGCTGGTGGGAGTTAAATAAGTTCAATTTACGTGGGGGAAACTATTGCACTGCCTATTGGGAATACAGAACACATGGGGTTACATTAAAGATGATCATCCACATTCGTAGCTCTTGGCCCCTCTGCTGACACCGCCTCCAGCACTCACCACCCTTCACGCCTTGGCTGGTGGGAGGTGTCTTGAGTGAGCTCTTACACTCTCCTTTCCTGTTCTTTCACTCCACCCACTCCTAGGAGTTTCTGTCTGTACGACCACTTGAAGGCAGCCCCTCACCTTTACCTCTCCAACCTGTAGCATCTGGAGAACGTTGATGATCATATCAAGAAAAAGGCAAACTTTGGAGAGACAAAACAGGCCTTCATTCTCTAGGCATCTGAATGTGCAGAAGCTATACCATGCTTGCTGACTGTCTTACAAGTGAGCTTTTTTGTGCTGACCATTTCTTTCAAGTATGTGTAACAGGATGTAAAAATGGGACTCTTCCCCGCTCAGTTTTGGCTGAGCAACAAGTGAGTTATTTCTATATCATAAAGTAGGGTGCAAGACCACCAAAGCAGCACTTGCAAAGCAGCTGTGTAGAAACCAGTGTATGACTTTCAGTCCACAAAAAAGGTTGAGAGGCCAGAAAGAATTGTAGTAGGATATGTGGCCACAATTATCAATGTGATGTGGGTCTCACCCATCTCATGTCCAAGGAAAGGTACTTCAGCTGGCTCCCTGAGAGAGCTTGGCATGCATCCCTCTAGATTAGGACCCCGGCAGGCTTCTGTCCAATCCGTGCTGAGAAATAAAAGGGCTTGTGGCTGGATCTCTGCTCCAATAGCTGAGCAAAGACAGACTGATGCTTTGGAGAGCTCTTTCACACCCAGTTTTTCAAAATAAAAACAATCCATTTCCCATGTATTTCCTATACACGAGCAAACTGGCTCGTGTCTTAGACCTTGCACAAGGGAATTTCTGGAAGGGTGAAGTGACACCCACAGGAGAGTGATCACTAGATTCCTTGAGGGTAAGGGAGATGAATTTAACAGCCCAGAGAGATATATTTACCCACATCAAGAGATCCCAAGAAATAAGAAGGTGGGAAGGTCTTCCAAAACACCCACAAGAAAATGCCAGCATGAAATACTTAACCAAGTTCAGAAAGCACTGATGCCAACTCACGACAGTATCAGACCAAAAAGAGCTTTCCTCCTTCTTACTTCCTCCCCTCTACTTCTCCCCAACCCAGTTCTAGAGAAGAAAAAAAGCTTCAACCTTAAAGTTTGTTTTTTAAAGTTTTTCACAGGACTAGCCCTTTTAAATATTGAAATGAGAAAGTGTGTGTCTGTGTGTGTGTGTGTATGTGTGTGACAGAGAGAGACAGAGAGAGAGAGAAATGGAAATTAGAAACTAAGGACTTTTTATTACCTGTGAGCAAGCAGAAAAGTCGAGGCAGCAACCTAAGATTTCACCCAGAGGGGCAAGGAAAAACTACCTTCAGAGCCAGTTTTAATAGAGGGTCTGGGAGAACATAGTTGTTCTCTGACTTCACCCCTTGAATGTACAAGCATCAATACTTTAACTAACCTACAGTTACGTTGTCATGTTAGATCCCTTAATATAATTTATTGGAAGTGTTGAGATGTTGCAACTATTTCAACTATGTACTCACCACTGCCTAGTTCTTCCCATAAGCAGCCTGGCTGAATTGCAGTTCCCTAATGGGACTAGATTTAAACCATTTAATGGCTTCAATTTCAGATGGCTTGTCTCCTCAAAAGAGGAAAGTATAAAGAATTTGGGAACATACAGACTGCATCTCTGTATTGTAAAGGTTAGGAAATTTTTTCCATTGGATTATTTCATTTGATTGTCCCAATAACACTAGTATGGCAAGTGCTGTTAGGAGTATTATTTTATTTTATATTATTTTGGTTTTTTGAGTCAGGGTCTGCCCCTGTGCCCAGGCTGGAGTGCAGGTGGCATGATAATGGCTCACTGCAACCTCTACCTCCTGGGCTCAAATGATCCTCCCAACCTCCCATGTAGCTGGGGGCTACAGGTGTGAGCTACCTTCTCTGGCCAGGATTATTATTTTATTGATGAGAAAACTGAGGCTCAAAGAAGTTATTCACGGTTAGTTTTCTACTTTTGATAAAGGAAGATTAGCTAGCTGCAAACCTATTCTCATGAAAAACAACTAGAAAAGTTGACAGAAAATATTTTTAAAATCTGTTTCAAGTCATTGGAGAGCTATCAAAGCAGCAAGAACTTGAAGGGCCAAGATCTGGAAACTGTGAGATTATATTTGGCACTACTTTTCTCCTTGAAGCACTTGCTAATTATAAGCAATGTCTTGGAGGCTAGGAAACTGGGCTGAAATCAGCACTGAGAAGCTGAGCAGTACTTCCAGCAATCTCATAGGGTAGGGATGGAAGGTAGGGATGGTGAATGTGAAGCAGGGGACAAAAGTAGGAGTCCAGATCCCCCAAGGAGAACCCCTGGTACACACTCATAGCTTTCACTTGGGATCCCTAAAGGGCTATACCCTAAAAGTCAAGGTAAACTGGAAATAGACCAGCCCTCACAAAGACTGAAGTTCAGCTTCTCTTTCACTCAATCCCTAATTGGACTAAGACTTTACCGTGCCATTGTATATTGCCTACTAGAAGCAAAAAGCAATCCCCTCTTGTGAAAGATAAAATCATCCAGAAGCTAAGGGGGGATATCTGTTAAGAGAGTGATCGTATTAATAATTCTTTATGTGTGGGAAATGAGGAGTTTTTTTACAAAGTCCTCTTGCAGCATAATTTATTCAATAATCCAGTGTAGTAGACTTAGTTCATTTTACAGATGAGGAATGTAAACCAAAATTAAAATTCAAAGGCCCCCCCAACCATCTGAATGGACTTTCTTCTAGGCAGGGCGCTCTAAAATTTAACCTGAAAGACCCATTGAGGCCATAACTGGATGTGGAGGTCACATACATGCCACATTATACCCCTCCAGCACTAACATCAACACAGACCTTAAGTCTGATGAGAAACAGTTACGATCTATTCTCTTGGAAGCCTGCAATCTGGAGGCTTCATCTGCATGATGAAACTTTGGTCTCTGCAACCTTTTATAGCATCCCAGACATTTCTATTAATTGCCAAGTAGAAAAATTTAAAGCTACCTATAATCTGTAAGCCTCCCACCCAACACTTTGAGTTATCCCAGCTTTCTGGACTCAGCCAACATATTTTATAAATGTGTTTGATTGAAGCCTCATGTTTCCCTAAAATGTATAAAACCAAGCTGCACCCTCATGACCTCGGGCACATGTTCTGAAGACTTCCTGAGGGCGGTATCATGGGCCATGGTCACTCATATTTGGTTCAGAATAAATCTCTTGAAATACTTTACAATGTTTGACTCTTTTCGTCGGCAGGAACATGCAACTGAGACTTTACCAAGAACTCTGAAAAGTGGTTACCAGGTTCCAGATGTGTTTGGCTTCTATCTCATATTCATAGGCTTTTTAAGAAGTATAAAGACATAATGGATTTCTTAAACTAATAAAACTGCTGATATAAGTTTAAATCAATTTTTACCGTATGTTTGAAAAAAAGTAAATACTGGTTGAGAACATAAATTTTGTGTTCATTTATTATCCCACTGAATAACAAACTTGTTAATCATAAATGTATATTACATAGTAAAACAAAGACTAGACCAAAATAGACCACAGTATCTTAAACACTTTCTAGGAATTAATATATGGACTCTATTATATATTCCTTTACAGAATTCCTGGATTTTTTTTTCATTTTTTAATTTGAAAGCCAACTTAAAAACTAACAATAATTAGGTATATTTTGGTATGTCATTACTACTTGTATAACTCCAAATGACAAAATACGTAGGTAAAGAAATGCAGGCATTCTGCAGACCAGCTTTTGAGCATCCTTAAAAAGTCAGTAGGATATTAACTGTGTCTTTGAATAATGATTCACTGATAAAGAATTATAAACCAGCTGGGCATGGTGGCTCACGCTTATAATCCCAGCATTTTGGGAGGCCAAAGTGGATGGATCACCTGAGGTCAGGAGTTCGAGACCAGCCTAGCCAACATGGTAAAACCCCATCTCTATAAAAAAGCAAAAATTAGCCAGGCGTGGTGCCTCATGCCTGTAATCCCAGGTTGCAGTGAGCTGAAATCACGCAACTGCATTTCAGCCTGAGCAACAGAGTGAGACTCTGTCTAAAAAATAAATAAATAAAATTATGAATGAAGCTCTTGGTTCAATTCTGTTCTCACGTTTGGGTAACTATTTACATATTCCTAGATGCTTTGAAGACATATATTTAAAATGCATGAAAATTCTAAGGCTCTCAGGACTCCTGATTTACCAAATATCACAAATCCCCAGAGGTGAGAACTGAAATCCATCATTAAAAATGTCCATTGTTCTGAAGTTGTGAATTATATGGTTGTGTTTTTAACATTTATTTTCATGTGCTTTAGTCATAGAGTGATTTTAAACATCGTTATTTTAAAATTCAATAAGTAGGATTCTTCACCATGATCAAAATTGTATAAAAATAAGCATATGTAGTATGCATAATTTGTGTTATCTGCTATCTATTTTTTACTTTCTTTTTTTCTACATGTTCTAAGATTTGCTATCTATTAGGATTTGCTTACAATAGATTTCCTTGCAACCAAACTATAAATCAGCTCATCAATATTTCAAATGATTCCAGATTCACTAGCATCTGTTTACCATCAAACGTATACTTAAGAATTGATCAGCTATTAAAAGTACAAGTAATGTAAAAATTTAAAACAGCATGAATTCTTCTTCCAAATTATATTTCCTTATATAATATGACATGAAATACAAAGTTTTTTATAATTTATTTTGAGGTCTAAGAAGTACTAAAAGATCTAGTAGTCTGTTGAAATAAAGCATGTTAAATGGTGTACAATTTATGTGAAAAAAAAAAGCATAGTTTTTTTAGGTAGGTGAATACCCCTGAAAATGATTTTAAATATGATGTTAAATATACCATACATGGAAATTAAATTACTGGGAGAGGAAGCTGATGGAGTGGGATATTCAAGTGATTCCTAGTTCCTATATAGACATGGTCAATTTGAGATACATGGCAGAGCTACCATATTATACAACCCCTATTCATTCTATGTGGATGGTGTCACATGAAGTTGTACAGCATTGGCCTAAATTATGAGACATCTACATGGACATCCAGGAATTAGTTGGAATTAAGAGGCAAAAAAAATTCAAGAAAGATGTCAAGGTTACAACTGCAAATAGAGGAGTCATTCAAAATAAGAACTGAAGTCATATATCTGGATGACATTCCCCATGAAAAGACAGCAAAAAGAGAAGAAGTCCAAAGACAGAAACTTGAAGGACATCTTCATTTAGTGACTAGAGGAGGAATGCGGCAAATTAAAGAGACACAAGCTTGTATTTTGCAGTCCAGCTTCACCCATTTATAACAGGACTGCTTACTCCCTATGCTACACAGCTGACTCTGCATAAAAACCAGTCCTTGAAATCCTTACATTACTTACAGTCTCAGTTCCAAACTGCTCTTCTTGACCTTTCTGACATTCTATTTCCTCCCCTTTTCTGTAGCTTCTACTCTCACTGCATGGCTTCCTGTTTATGGCCTCACCTTATATCTTAGAAATAAAGTACTCAGCACTGTTTTTCTATCCTTTACCTTGCACTTCTCTCATCTATCTCAGTTTGAACTCTCCCTTTGATAACAATGCTTCCTGTTACTCTGGGGACAATCCCGTTATGATACCTAGGACCACATGTCTGAGTACAGCCCCGTGCAAGTCACGTCCCACTAAGTTTCCCTTGGACCCATGAGTAGGATAGGTAGTCTAGAATAAAACCAATATCATGTGATGTCATTGAAAGAAAACAAAGTTTCCAGGAAGATAGTTACTTGGGAAGGGGCTCCCTAGTGCCAAAAAATAAAGTCTCAAATTCATAGCCTGGTCTTAATGATTATGCCCCAATCAACCTTTCCAGGCTTAGCTACCCCTATTTCCCTACAAGACACTACACTTGAAACTAGACTACTTGCTCTTTACTAGGTATGCTCCATGTACAAAGGTCTCTATACTTTTGCTCCTGCCAGCAACAAAGACAGCTGGTCTCCTATTAAATTTTAGTGTGTGAATGTGATTGAGCTTGACACAAATTCAGCAATAAGTAACAGATACTTTAGAAATAAGGGGATCTCCAGTAACAATATGAGTCAGTGCCGTAATACTCCTCAAGATATTCTAAATGATCATAAAATAAATGATCTTGTTTTACTCAAGAAGGATTGGGGAAAATAGAGTTAGGCTGAGACTAGATCTATCTATTGGGTCAAATGACTTCTCTATTAAAAATGGGTGGTCAGTGACTTGTATGGTAAACAAATTGTCTCATTGAAGCTGTTACCAAAAAAAGAAAACTAAACAAAACAAAAAAAAAAAGGGGCGGTTAGAATATCCAGGTACAAATTTTCAAAGACTAGTGATTCATTAAGGAGTGGGATTTGATAACATTGTTTGCCAGAAGATGCTGTCTCTCCAGGATCAGGTTTTCAAGAAAAGTAAGAGATGCAGAAAACTAAACACCACATATTCTCACTCCTAGGTGGGTGTTGAACAATGAGAACACGTGGACTCAGGGAGAGGAGCGTCACACACTGAGGGCAGTTGCTGGGAGGTAGGGGAGGGAGAGCAGAGGGTGGGGAAGGTGGGGAGGGATAACATGGGGAAAAATGCTGGATATAGTATACACCTAAAGTAAAATTAAAAAAAAAAAAAAAAAAAGAAAAGCAAGAGATGGCCCAGAGGCCTCCAAGTTGATGCTCAAATGCTCCTGGATTAGGACTGGCTACTCTTAGATACTTGGCTGCCTGCTGACCTTAGCAAGGGCGTCACTGACAACATCAAGATCATGCTGCAGTTCGTTCATGGCACTGGTTATGCTCTTGGTGTCTTTCAGGATCTGAATACTCCGTGTATATGGATTATACTTCACTCCAAATGGACGCTTAATTGTTTTGGTAAATTCTCTATTTAAGAAAACAAATGAGAGACAATCAATTTCTAGGGGGTGAACAATGAAAACTAAACAAACAACAGAACCTATTTCACATACTAGGCAAAAGACAAATCTTTGTGAGATATGTGTGCAACAAATCTGACCTACTTCTCTACACTGCATTTGCAGAGGCCCCCTGGAATCCCAAGCAAGTGCAAAACCTAAAGTAGTTATAATTATTTTATAACTATATAAAATAGTTATAGAGTTATAAAATAGTTATAACTACTTTAGATTATAAAGTAGCTGTAAAACCCTGGCATTACTAGGGAAAGATTCCATAAATTGATTTATTAATCATTTATTAATGTACACATCTCTTGACTACAGTAAGGAAACCAACTACTGTAGTTTTATCAATAGACATAAAACTGTTTCATTACAACACTTGACCACATAGTAACAATCATGCCTTATATAGCTATACTTACCTACACAGGTAACCTGTGTGTTTAACATATAACACATACAGACACACACATACTCACACACCCCAAAATAGACTAGGAATGGTCCTACTCTGTGCATATGTATATTTTTTCTGCTTAGAATGTTTCCCTCTAGGCTCCTTTCAAATGACCTAAATTCTGCCCGTTTTTCAAGCATTAAGGTTCTGCCTCCTTTATCAAACCACTGTTTGAACCTCTCATTTGGAACCCACAAGAACAATCATGTTCAGGACTCTTAGGGATAAATGTGCAGCTGGGGACAAATGTACATGAGTAGCAGCTGAAATCCAACTCATAATCCACCTGGTCTACAGAGGGGACCCCCTTTTCTAATTTGCATAAAGGTGCCATTTATGCTAGAGGAATCCCTGATAGTATTATTATTTGGGTTAGTAAATGGCCTAACTCCCCAACTAATGGCTTCTCTGGAAGACAAGGACTATTACTTCAACCCCTATCTATCCCCATCATCACAATGTGACCTCATGACCTCTTCCACTCAATGTTGTCTCATTGATTCTGCTTTGAAAGTCTTTTCCTTTCCTACTACTTCTGTCTTAGTTCAGGCATTTGTTTTCACCGGAAGTGTTGCAAGAATCTTCTAAAAAGTTTCTCTTCCTCCAATATCCACCTTTCTTCATCACACATTTAGCTGATTAATAAAGTGTAGCTTTGATTGAGTTGTACATATCTCCTTTATTTTTCAACATCTTGACCCTTTTTTCAAGCTATCTCACAGCCTAAAATTTAATATATCTAAATATTATCTATCCTTCAAGTCCTTTCTCAAATAACATTAAGATTACCCTGTTCATCCAGCTGAAATGAATTGCTCTTGAATAAAGTGCAGAACAATGTTTCATCTGTATTTCTCCAAGGCTCTTATCACTTTCCATGTTGTTATATAGTAATTTGCATAAAATTTACTTTCCCTATTAGACTACTAAAATCTCTGATTAGAAGAACTGGAAAGAAAATAACTTCTCAATGTATCTGATTCATATTTGCAACTATGCAAAATCCTTATACACAACATACTCTAGATACTTGTTATGAAAGGAAGATGTGTTACAGACAGAAGGCTCCTTGTGGGCTTCAAATTATCTAGCTGCTTACTTCTGTGACCTGTTACCATCATGGGGCTGATCTTTCGCTGAAGAAAATGGAGGCATGAAGAAGATATACTGTACCTCATCTTCTCCTTTGCATCTTCAAAGCTTTCAGATACAAAGTAGACATCCTGAAAAGTTGTGATAAGACATTCCTGTTTGCAGGTAATCTTGGGATCAAAGGGCTTTACTTTGGCATGTCCAGAAAGTGCATGCTAGAAGACAAAGAGTCAGTGAATAAAGAATAATCCCTATTTTCATAGAACATGCAACTTCCATAATTGGCACACCTCTAACATATTACTAATGTAATGGCCCCAATCTACAATTCCAAGCTTATTTCCTATAGCTCTATTCAACCCACAGTATACTTCAGCAGAAGAAATGACTTGCTCTTCCCCGTAAATGCCCCCAAGCTAATCTCCATGGCTTTGGTCTTCCTCTCTTCTTTGTGTAAAAGGCATCCAAGGATCTTTATTTACTTATTCCTGCATTATGGCACCAACTTTCTACCCAGCACTAGTTATTCCTATACATGACTTATATACCCACCAAGTGCTCCCTGAAAGCAAGACAGTACCTTGGATGGTGTTTCACACACATTCATTACTCAACAAACATAAGTTTATTTATTCATTGGTTAAATAATAAATCTCAAAGAATTCCCTAGAAATTATAGAAGTTATTGCTGGCATATCAGAAATGGTAAGGAAACAGCAAGACTTTGTAAGCAAAGACTTCAAAACACTATTTATTTTAAATATATTATACATATAGCATTTCATATATATCAGAAATATATCAAAATATTTCATGTGTGTGTCTATTACTAATGCAATGGCCCCAACCTACAATTCCAAACTTATTTCCCATAGCTCTACTCAACCCGCAGTATACTCAAGCAAAAGAAAGCTTGCTGTTCCCCATAAATGCCCTGATAAAATTCTGATATTATATACATTTAGATTATATAATAGATAATTGGGAAATAGAGAAAAATACATTCAGGTAATGATTAGTGACAGCCCCAAGTATTTTCCATAGTAAGAAGTTCTTGTTCAAAACTGAAAACTATTTCAGGTTTTATCAATTAAATTAGGTGAATATGGTTACATGCAAAGATTTACAACTCTTACTTTGAGTTCACTGATAGAAGAAAGTAAGCCAGCTCCAAAGACTCTTAGCTGTCCATCTTGTTTACATAGACCAAACTCCACAGTGAAAAAGTAGCACTGCAAAAGAACATCAATATTATTCTCACACACTGAAGAATTCAACTTAAACAAATTACAGTTCTTAGTCACTGACCCAAAGTAACCCAGAATAAAGTCTAAAATCCCAGCCTAGTTCACAAGTCTTTCTATAATCTGGCCTCATTCCAACCTAGTACTTCTCAAACTTCTGTTCTGATGACTTTTACATGTTATCAAAAACTAGAGGGCCCCAAAGCTTTGTGTATGTGTGTATGTGTTGGTATCACTAGCTATATTAGTCATACTAAAAATTAAAACTGAGGGAAAATGCTTGCTAATTAATTTTAAAATTTAATACACTCATTTTTTGGTAACATAAATAATGCTAATAAAAATAACTATATTATACAACACAAAAAAGTAAGAAAAGTAGCATCATTTTACAATGTTATAAATCCTTTTAATGTCTGGCTAGAAGAGAGAGGGAGTCTTATATCAGCTTCTGTATTTAGCCTTTTGGGATATACTGTTTGAGTACATGAGTTACATCAGCTTCATGTGATTTTTAGTTAGAAAAGGGTTGCATATTTTAAGAGTCTTTTCAGAGAGTTGTGGATATTCTTCTTTTACTCTGCATGAAGACTTAACAACTGTGTAGAGTTTCTTAAAGTTCAACTGCAATGCAGAATCTGAATTATGTCAACGAACTGCCCATTTCATTAAAATCCACTGTGTGCTTTGAATGGATCTTTTATTTAGGCATGATTTTGACCTCAAGGACCCCATGAAAGAATCTCAGGGACCCCAGTGGTCCCCAAACCACAGTTTTAGAAGCTTTGTTCTATTTCACACTGCCTTCCTCATCCTGGGACAGTCTGCTCCTGCTTCTCGCTGTTTCCCCAGACACACCAAGCACCTCCTTGTCTTTCCTTGTGTGCCCTCATCCTGAGATGCCTTTCCCTCCTTGCTCAGCACATCACTCATTTTCCATCAGCTAATCCAGATGTCTCTTCCAAGAAGCCTTCCCCAAGTTCTCTATGCTCCCAGAGCAATCTGTTAACTTTGCTATAGGCTATCTCATTTGAACATAACTGTCTCCTCAAATGGTATATAAGTTCCTTAAAGGTAGAAACCAGGCCTTAGTCATCTTTGTATTTCCACCAGTGTCTTGTCCTAGCACTCAAAAACATTTTAGCATAATTTTAATGAAACCTATCTTTTTTATTGGAAAATAAAAAATAGATAACCTATTATAGTAATCTTATTTTTCTCTACCTTTTTTAAAGCTCATGTCTCCTTTTGATAAACCTTAAAATTTTACATCCTTCTTTAATCAAATTTGAATTGAATTAAAGATTATGAGCAAAACCAAATTTTCTTTTCTTTTCCTTTCTTTTCTCTTCTCTTTCTTTTCTCTTTTCCCTCCCCTCCTTCTCCTCCCCTTTTCTTTTCTTTTTCTTTTTTCTTTCTGACAGAGTCTCACTCTGTTGCCCAGACTGGAGTGCAGTGGCACAATCTCGGCTCACTGGAACCTCCAAGCAAAGACAATTTTCTAATGGTCATTCTGGATATTTACTTTTAAACTATGCAGATACTCAAACACCCTATCCCAGTTGAGAATTACTGATGTATACAATTATTTCCAGATTTATACCGTTGCCAGTTTTTGAACAGCCTCCTCTGAAGCTCCAAGAGAAGCCAAGCCAATTTCTTGGGAGAACTGGGCAAAACTAGGTTCAGCCAAAAGCGGGACATGACCTAAGAGTTCATGGCAGGTATCTCTGAAATAAAGGTACAAGTTTGTCACACTGCAGTGCTTAACATAAGTGTGTAATCAACCATTCAATCAAATTCAAATCCAATATTTTATTCTATGGATTACAAAGGACACTAATCAAATAAACAATTTTTGTTCAAAACCTTGGCCACTCACAGACACACACATATAAGTGCATATCAGATACCTCTGGACATCCGGGTGCCACCTCCACCCTCCAACCCCACCACATACACACCCAAATCAGATCTCTGCTCAAATATCACCTTCTCAGCAAGGCCTTCCCTGAGCACCCTTTTCAAAACAACAATGCACATACACACTCCCACCCACCTACACACTCCTCCATCTCCTTTCTCAGCTTTATTTTTCTCCATGCCACTCACCACCACCCGATGCAACATTTGCATATGTTTACTTGTTTGTTTATTATCTGTATCCCTCACTGGAATAGAAGCTTTATGTAGGCAAAAATTTTTGTCTGACTTTTTTTCAGTTACATTCCCTATGCTCAGAATAGCAGCTAACACCTAATACGTTGTCAATTAATTATCACAATGGCTAACACATATAAAGTATGGGACATGTAATTCATGCCAGGCACCATTCTAAAAGCTTCACATGTGCTAATTTATTTAATCCTCACATACCAAAAAACCCCACAAGGTAGATACCATTATTATAAATAACCATTTGATGAATTCATGGCTGAAACAGAAGTACTTACGGCTCTGGGGTATAGAAGGGATCTGAACTGTGTCTCACATATTGAGTGCAGTGAAAAACTCGAAAGGCTAAACCTGATAAGAAATCTCTTGGTGATAAGTAACCAGCTACAGGACGGATAGAAAAACCTGTACGTTCTGCAAAGCAAAGGAGAAAAAGAAAATCTTTACCAGAATAGACCCCTGACTGTAGCATTTTAGTTCTGCCAGTGGCACAAAGTAACACTTTGATGGAGGACATGAAAACTAAAATTTATCATATGCATATTAAGGAGAACTAATCATTATTAGGCACTTACTATGGCCAGGCAATGAGTTAGACCTTTTACATATCACTTCTCCTTTCATGTTTACAACATGAGTTAAGGATGTTTCTCCTTATTGTGACAACTATGAAATGGAGGCTTAGAGACTCAATAACGTGCCCAAGTCCACACACTAGTTGATAAAGGTAGAAGGAGAACTCAGATCTCCTCATGCCATGCAACACCTTGCTGTTTCCCTAATGGGTTTATACTATCTCCTAAATAATCTTCTTTTTGTAAAAACTCACTAACAAGATGTATTCACTTAAATCAGAACCATTTTGAAGCTGTGCTATTTTTAGCCAGTATCATCTCTTTTAAAATAGTCCCTTTCTTTTATCTAAACTGGATAGTGTTCTTCCATCTCCCAACAGCCAAGACTGCATGAATACTGTAAAAGACGCCTGCCATTAGGATTCAATGGCTTGGGAGACCTCTGTGAGCTCTAATCTTGCCATTCATTCCAAACCCTCACAACTCTAGTATGCCAGTTCCATCCAGCTGTGTTGTATTTGGATGCTCCCATTCTGATGGGCAGACTGCACCGTCCAGTAAAAGTGTCCATAGTGATAGAAATGTTCCATATCTGTGCTGTCCAATAAGGCAACTACTAGCCACATGCAGCCATTGAGCATTTGAAATGTGGTTAGTGTGACTGAGGAACCAACCTCTTGATTTAAATTTATTTTAGTTAAATTTTAAACAACCAAATACGTCTAGTGTCTACCATATTTGATAGTGCAGGTGTCCCCTTCCAACTTTTACACTTACAAATTTTGCAAGTGGCTTCTATAAAAACTAAATGTTTGAAAAATAGTGATGAAGGATGCTGATGAAGTTGTTACATCAAATTTGCATGAGATTTGGAGGAAATGTTTTGTTGTGGATATAAAACTGAAAGCTGTTCACTTAGGGTCTGGTGCCTGGGCTGGCTGCAGAATGTGTTGCTGAAAATGCTTCAAGGTAGATTTTTTTTAAGTCTATGTGAGAAACTCAAAGATAGCAATAAACTAAACTCTTCAGTCACAGCATAACTTTTTTGTTTTCCTCTGCTATGGTAATCTACAGAGATTGTCTACTGAGATAAAAGGGAATGTTTATACTTCTTAAATATTGTAAGCCCTTAGAGACAGATCACTGTTCATTTTATTTCCTATACTAGCTAGAAAAAATTAAAAAGGCTGGGACCAAACAAATGTAAAGAACTAAAAGGAGCAAAATTGTCCTTACCTTTTGTTTATGCCTCTACTAGCACCATCTATTTTCTTGCTAAAATTATCAAACTTAATGTGGAAAAAGTCTTCGACTCTCCCCAAGATGCTTGAATTGCCTCTTCCCAACCCCTGGCAAATTGGTGTGGAGCTTTTGCACAAACACCCCCACGGATGAGGAGCTAACCATCTCATAAGTGTGTTCTATTTTCAAATCACTCTTTTAACAAGATATTCTCTATTTTGGGGCAAAAGCTTGTAGCTTCTATCCAACAGTCCTTTACTTTAGAGTTGCACAGTAATCCCTCTTTTATAAAGATGGCTTTCAAATATTTAAATAAAGCTATAACATCCCCTAAATCTCTAGGTTAAAACCCTAAGAGTTCTTCAAAGTTTACTTATGTGATACAATTTCAAATCCCCTTAGAATTCTGTTTACCTTCCTCTACCCTGGCTGCAGGTTATCATTATCCCTCAACTGTGGTGCCCAATCCTGGATCCAGTACACCAGGATAGAGTATGGGAAAATTCTGACCTCCCATATGACTACACTTTATTCCTCTGTTAAAAATGCTGTCACTGCCGGGTGTGGTGGCTCCACCTGTAATCTCAGCACTTTGGGAGGCTGAGACAGGTGGATCACTTGAGGTCAGAAGTTCAAGACCAGCCTGGCCAACGCAGCGAAACCCTGTCTCTACTAAAAATACAAAAATTAGCCAGGCATGATAGTGGTTGCCTGTAGTCCCAGCACTTTGGGAGGCCACAGCAGGAGAATCGCTTGAATCCAGGAGGCAGAAGGTGCAATGAGCCGAGATGGCATCACTGCACTCCAGCCTGGGTGAAAGAGAGAGAGACTCTGTCTCAAAAAAAATTCTGTCATGATCAAAACAGTTCAGCAACCCTCTTACAAAAGAATTAACTAGCTTATTACCTTTTAAAAAGTTTGAGACATCTTCCAATTGTGGGATATTATCCTCCCGATATCCACAATATTTAGAAAGCAAAGGTAAGTTTTTGAGATACTCTCTGCAAGCATGGGTTGGGTAGAGTTTGTTGAGCTCTTGGAATACGGTTCCCCAGGTCTTAATTTCCTCTTCAGTGAATTCAACCTTTGGAATGGGGTCTCCACTAATGAGATAAAGGGAAAGAGTTGTTTTGAATTAGGATTTAATAAATAGTAGCACTTATTTCACTTTCTACTTACCAAATGAACATAATTTATTCTGTTCACTTATTTTATTATCTCAAAGTTGGCTACATTATTTTCTTTTAATATACTTACTGTTTATAGTTCATAGCCAAGTCCGCAAAATACTTTCGACGTTTACGGTAGACATTGTCTTTGAAGCCCTGATAATTAAAGACATGTTTTTAAATATCCATACTAAAAAATACTTGACAAATGATATTAAGGAAGCATTTCATTATTAGTAGAGCTATTATATTAAGGGCTACATAATTGTTACTATGAGCAAGCATTATTTAGAGATTTATTATCATTTGTATTTTAAAGTCAATGTTACATGACAGCTTTATACTCTAGTAGCTACAAAGATAAAAGACATAATAGATACAAAAATAGTACAGTGGCTACAAAGATAAAACAGTTTGAAGAATAAGGAAACCACTATCCCAGTTAATTACATGGCTCTTTTCCAAGGGTGAGGGTTTTTTTCCTTAATCATTTGACTAGATTTTCAGTTATATTTACCTGTACTAGCCATTAATAATAAAAAAGCAATTAATATTTGAAATAGTGCTTAACTGAATCTAGTCTTAGATTTTATCACAAAATGCAAGTATATTTACCATTCGCAGAAACAATGATGATTTTAAAAGCAGACAAAATAGTAACATTAGAATTTATACTCATGAAAAAACTTTTTTAGGCAAAATGGCTGAGCATGGTGGCTCACGCCCGTAATCCCAACACTTTGGGAGACATAGGAGGGAGAATCACTTGAGCCCAGGAGTTTGAGACCAGCCCGGGCAACAAAGCAAGACCCCGTCTATACAAAAAAAAGAATTAAAATAAGGATTATAACTAGACAGGTGTGGTAGTGCAGGCCTGTAGTCCCAGTTCCTTGGGAAGAGACTGAGGCAGGAGGATGGCTTCAGCCCAGGAATTCTAGGCTGCAGCGAGGTATGATGGTGCCACTGCACCCCGGCCTGGGCAACAGATAGAGACTGTACCTTAAAAATAAATAAATAAAATAAAATAAATAAGAAATCAAAAACCAAAGCCCAGGAGAATATAGCCAAAAATGCAAATAATGGGAAAGAAGCGGATACCTATAAAGAGATAACGAGATTCGTCTCTTTAACACAGATCTATGGGGTAATACAGATTTACTATGACCTGAATTTGTGCTAAATTCTGGAAAAACAAATATGAACAAAGCACAGACTGGGGCTTAATGGAGTTTACATTAACCTGTTATTGTAAAATGATACAATAAGTGCCTCGTCATATCCCACAGATATGTACAGAATGGCACACACACTTAAGAGGATTGTGTGGCTCGGTGAATGCTTCCCAGTGATGGCTCCCAAGTTAAGACACAAAAGAGGAGTGGAAATAGCACAGTGATTTAAACAAAAAAAGAAAAAAAGCATGTTGGACCTAAGAAAATACAAGCAACCCCATGTTGATCAAACTTGGAGAGGAAAGCAGAGCATGTTGAAAACTAGTTGGGGTCTGCAAATTAAAGGTCCATTAAGGAGCTTGGAGTTTAGCCTTCAGTAATGGAAACCCACTGGTGTTTTTTTTCCACTGGTGGTTTTTTAATAACAACTTTATTGAGATATAATTCATACACCATAAGATATCCATTTAGTCGTTTTTAGTATATACACAGAATTAAACAACCATCTCCACCATCTAATTTCAGGTTTTATCACCCCAAAAAGAAACATCATGCTCATTAGCAATCTCCATCTCCACCCCAACCCTCCCCAATTCCTGGCAACCAGTAATCCACTTTCTGTTTCTATGTATTTTTCTATTCTAGACATTTCACATAAAAGGAATCATACAATACGGGGCCTTTTGTGACTAGCTTCTTTATCATAATGTTTTCAAGGTTCATCTATGTTGTAGCACATATCAGTATTCCACCTCTTTTTATGGCCAATAATATTTGCCTGTATAAATATACAATACTTCATCTATTCATCAGTTAATGAACATTTGGTTTGTTTCCACTTTTTTACTATTATGAATAATGCTGCCACAAACATTCATGTATATATTTTTGTATGGACATATGTTTTCAATTCTTTTAAGTATGTACCCAGGAGCCATTGGTGATTTTTAAGAGAGAAGATTAATAATAGTCATACTGAGGTTTTAGGTCATTCTAACGAGTATAAGGAGGAGGTGTTTGAAGGTGGCAAGGTTCGAGGAAGGGAGACCAGTTAAGGGATGTGGTCATAGGGATGAATAAAGGATACATTTAAGAAATACCTAGGAGGTAAAAATCAGCAGGACTTAGTAGATCTGTAAAACTAATGTACCCACCTTTCCATAAACATGCCGCAAATTTTCTTGCCTCTGAAACTTTGCTCATATTGTTCCCTCCTGAATTGTTCTTCCTTTCCATCTTTTACTTGCTGAAATCTTTTAAGGCCCAATTGAAGTGTTGCCTTTCTCTGAACTCTTCAGCTAGAAGTGTTTGCTCTCTTACGTATATTTTGAAGCAATTTTTTCATGCCACCTAGCACACTTTTTACATTTTATCTTGTGTGTATTTATATATGTGTGCTTTAGCATTTCAACTAGACTGCAAGCTCATTTCTGGCAAGTACTGCAACTAATTGCAATAGTTACTCAATAAGATGATAGAATAAATGGACAGAACATCTGGTGGCTGTCTAAGGTAGTATAAAAAGGTCACATTCGCAGAGCTAATATGTGAGAGAAGCTACATTAAAGTCCTGGTCTGTTCAACTTCACAATTGCCCTCTCTTTTCTCTTCCCCTCCCAGAAACCTAGAGTTTTGTAAGGAAGCCTAATGCTCTAGATCTACTAATTCTCCAACTCTTGCCTGTATGGTACAATTTTACAAGGGAACAAGTTCCCAGTTCATTAACTGCCTTGTAAACCAATCATTCTGTGCAGTGTGTGGGGCAAGTCTTTCTCTGGCCCACTATTTATTTCCCTTTCCAGTAACCCATGCCTATTTAAATAAAAACTGATTGCAGACACTGTCTTCATTTTAGTATAACCCTTTGAATAGCTCTTAATAATAGAAATGCCGGGCACAGAACAGATATTTTGGAACCAATGAAGCTACATGCTTTTCAGACAGTTAGTCTCAATTCCACCAACACGGAGGTCTACTAACACTTCCTGAAATCCTGATTAAAACAATATCTCATTTAGTCTAGAAAAAAAACTTTCTGTAAAAAAGTTGCCCTTAATTTTTAGTTTAAATTGTTTTTATAAATGTATTTATGAAAAATACTTACAGAGCGGTAGCTCATGCCTGTAATCTCAGCACTTTGGGAGACTGAGGCAGATGGACCACCTGAGGTCAGGAGTTCGAGACCAGCCTGGCCAACATGGTGAAACCTGTCTCTACTAAAAATACAAAAATTAGTTGGGTGTGGTGGCAGGCACCTGTAATCCCAGCTACTTGGTAGGCTGAGTCAGGAGAATCACTTGAACCTGAGAGACAGATGTTGCAGTGAGCCAAGATTGTGCCATTGCACTCCATCCTGGGCAACAGGGCAAGACTTGGTCTCAAAAAAAACAAAACACAACTTACAGGATGGTCTGCATCTAGTTCAGATCCATACATCAGAACTCTGTTGGCACAATGGTCCAGGTCAGATATCTTCTTAGGAAACCAAGGAACAGTTTCCATACCTGTAAAATTAAAAAACAAAAAACATTAAAAGTTGAAGAGACAATCTTAAACAAAACAATAAGGAAGAAAAAATAAAATTCAGTTGGATGAGATTTTTAATTTTAGCTTGTACATCGAGGCAAGATTTATACAAGTTAAGTAAATTGCTCTATTTCTAAAAAGTAAAATTTATTCAAAATTTCTGAGCTTTATTTTCATTTTTATTTATTTATTTATTTTTTTTAGTTTTCAGGTTAATGTTCTAAGTTTTGGAGAAACACTATACTTTAGAAACAGATTAAAAGTTTAAAAATGCTTAAGCTACGTATTTAGCTGTCATGCAAAAGCAGAATGAAGATTTACAACTTTATTTATAGACCAAGGTACAAACAATAAAAACTTCATTTATTTTTGTTGATGGGCAGGATCTTAGAAATCATTTGTCTTTGCCACCTTGATCTTCTCACCATTCCTTAGACACACAAGCCCTCATAAGACTTTGGGGTTTTGTAAATGCTATCTTCTGCCTGGGATAGCTATTCCACTTCCATTCCCCACCCCACCCCACACTTCTGTTTTCCTGAGAATATCCTTCACATCCTTTAAGACCCAAATCTAATGAAAAGCCTTCCCTGACCCTGTAGCTAGAGCTAATTATCCATCCCCTGGGTTCCCGTGATGTTATGTTTCTCTCTAAAGTCTTTTACTGTGTTTTATTATAATGTACCTGTTACATGAAAGATTGGAAACAAGTGTAGGGTAGGGACTATATCTTTTTCTATATCTATTTCTTAGTGGAAATATCTGTCACAAGGTTGGTGTACTGTAAATATCAACAGAACTATTTAGTCATCTATAAACCTCTGCATTTCACAGATGAGATAAACAAGCTCCAGAGAGGTAATTTACCCAAGTTTACTCACTCTCACTCCTCATGGAAGAGAGAGGACTAGAACTCAGCTCTTCTTGCCCCAGCATAATGCTCTTTCTAACATATCCAGGAGTGATATTCAAGGGATTTAGCAACAAATACAACAGGAACACTAATCACTCAAAATAGACATCAGCAGAGTCCTAGGCTTCTGCTCTGCAAGGTGTTAACCCTTTCATTGTTAATGATGGATGTGGGACTTCTTAGTGGGGAGTATCTGGAGCAACAGAGGCTTCAGGCATGGTGATGCTCCCTGAAGGGACTTGAGGAAGTAGTTCTCTGCCAGACAGAAGTAGAGGTATATCAGTATTTTTAAATAATTATACAGCTGTATGAGCAAATAGCAGATGAATAGCAACCTTGATTACACCTCAAATATTGTGGACATAATCTGAAGAGATTATTTTAGATTGAGTACCATATATAAAATGTAGCTAATTATCTATTTGTCTTTTGCCTCGAGTAAACTTCAAGGATTTTTTTCACCAGTAAAGATCTTAGCCTTTATCTTTGCTACTGATTATCTGAAACTTTAAAGGCCTTATTGCATTCTCATTTGCTTTTGGAAGGGAAGCTCTACATCAGCGGTCCCCAACCTTTTTGGCACCAGAAACTGGTTTTATGGAAGACAATTTTTCCATGAACGGGGAGGCAGGAAATGATTTCATCAGTCATCGGATTCTCATAAGAAGCACACAATCTAGGTCCCTTGCACGCGCAGTTTGCAATAGGGGTCATTCTCCCAGACGGAGCTCAGGTGGTAAGGCTTACTGACCTGATGCTCACCTCCTGCTGTGCAGCCTGCTTCCTAACAGGTGATGGATGAGTCCCCTGCTATACATATTGTGTGTCTCATTTCATAGTTGTCAGCAACTGTCAACATTAGCAGCAAATTTAAATATTCATTTACTATCTGCTAGATGCCATATCTTATGAGATTGCTAAGTGCTCAGGGATTGTGAATTAGAGGTTTGTCAAATCAAGAAATGTTGATTATTTGGAAATTGAGAGATAATCAATTTCTGATTATGCTGAATTCTTTCTCTCCTTCCTTCCTTCCTTCCTTCCTTCCTTCCTTCCTTCCTTCCTTCTTTCCTTCCTTCCTTCCTTCCTTCTTTCTTTTTCAGAGTCTTGCTCTGTCACCCAGACTGGAGTACAGTGACACAATCTTGGCTCTCTGGCTTCAACCTCCTAGGCTCAGGTGGTCCTCCCACCTCAGCCTCCAGAGTAGCTAGGACCACAGGTGCATGCCACCACACTTGGCTAATTTTTGTATTTTTTGTAGAGACTGCGTCTCTCCATGTTGCCCAGGCTGGTCTTGAACTCCTGGAGTCAAGTGATCTGCCTGCCTCGGCTTCCCAAAGTGCAGGGATTATAGGGATGAGCCACCACTCCCAGCAGTTTCTTATACTCAAGATTTTCTTTTTCATTTCTCTTATACTAGATCAAATGTTGCTTTACAATTTTTCTTTGGTATCTTGAGCAACTATATTTTGTGTTCCTTTCACTACCAGCCTGTAAGCAATTTTGAGAGACTGTGTTTTATTTATTTATCTTATCTCATATCTTCAAGATAAATATAAGATTGGACACCCATTTGGTATTTCATCTTCTAAGTAGTATTTTCACCTTTCAAACTTACCATCTTCCTTCACAGTAAAATTATCTGGTGGATTCACGGAGAGAACATTGGTATGAGACTTCAGCAGATGAAAAATATCATTCAGTTGTTCTCTGTTGATGTCACAGTCAACAAAAATCTCAAATTCTGAGTTTCTTCTTTTTGATTTTCGGGACTCAATATGTAACAGATTCACATGCTTCTCCTGTGTAAAGCACAGGGTAAAGATTGCATGTAACTGCCTCAAATGTTAATAGTCTTTGAGCAGGTTACTTTCATTACCACTAAAAATCAAATTCACACTTCTCAGAACAGTCAAAGGGAAAAAAGCTGTTTTTAGTACTGCCAACAACAAAATAATTCCTCTTAAAAATTATGTACTAGTCAAATAAGTTTTCAAAATTCATCCCATCCTCCAGAAAACAATAAAATAACACATACTAGAGGTCCTTCAGATTGTCAGAATTAATCAGAATTCAAATCAAAATATTATTCAGTTTCCTGGCTAAGAAGAATCTTTTGAAAATTCTCATATCTAAAAGCTAGATTTCAAAAAGTGATACCAATGTTAATCTTGGACAAAGAAGAGTTTCCCTTGCAAAAATCCATTTAATAAAATTAGATGAACAGATTGAGCACAGAGTTTAATACCTCAAATCTCTTAAGCTACAATCTTAGTAACAGCTGAACCAAATCTCCTCTGCTGACCTCTTCTAAGTCAGCTGAAGATGGAGGTACTGTGTGTAGAACTGTGGGATGAGGGTATGGTCTCTTACCAATTTGGGTAGCTGAGGAAGAGTGCTAGGGACATTATAATGAAACATGGGAACCAATCACCCAGTAGTTTTTTCATCTAAGAAAATGAGAAGATTAGAGCAGATAGTCTCCAATACTAAACAGTGCATCCTAAAATAACTTAATAAACGCCTGTGTAACTAGGTAAAGTCTACATAGAATACAAAGGGAAGACATAAAGGAATTTATAATCTAGTTGGCTAACACATGAAAGATTAAGAAAATAAAGTAGAGAGTGTTTAGATGTAGATTCTCAGCAAAGGGAAAAGAATCACAATTTAAGAGACAGTAGAAAATTTCACGGAGCAGGTGGGAACTGAAATGAATCTTAAAGAATAGACAGAATAGGCTAGGCATAGTGGCTCATGCCTGTAATTCCAACACTTTGGGAGGCCAAAGTGGAAGGATCACTTGGGCCCAGGAGTTGAAGACCAGCCCAGGCCACATAGCAAGAACCCATCTCTACAAAAAATAACAAATTAGCCAGGCATAGTGGGGCACATCAGTAGTCCCAGCTACTCGGGATACTGAGGTAGGAGGGTCAGTTGAGCCCGGGAAGTGAATGCTACAGTGAGTCATGATTGAGCCACTGCACTCCAGCCTAGACAACAGAGTGATACCTTTCTCAAAAAAAAAAAAAAAAAAAAAAAAATTATCAGGGAACGTGAGCCAACAAGAAAGAGGACTGAGTGATAGAGGATGTTAGGAAATTAAAATAGGCAGGGTTTATCTGGAAACATAGAATTTATCCTAGAATCAATAGAAGTCAGTTACAAAATACACTGGGATTGATCAGGTGTGAAGAATAGTTTCATTTCATCTATTTCTTATAAATGTTTACAGTAATAATGCATTTGTAAATATTTTCTAAATGATGACTTCAAAAAAATATAAAGCTAAACTATGTTTTTGGAGAAAAAAAGATGCAAAAATGTCAATTCTTCCTAAATTGAAATCTCAATGGAATTTGGTGAGGAAATGTAATTAAATAATTTCTAAATTCATCTGGAAGAAAAATATAATTTGGAAAATTCAAATAAAGTAGAAGCAGTAAGTGACACATTCCCTATCAGACATTTCAATTACAGAAACAGAAGCATAGTGAGGTTAAGCAGTTTGCCCAGAAGCACACAGGTGACAAGTGTCAGAGCCGGAATTCAAATCTAGGCTGTCCAGCTCCACATTCCAGTGCTTAAAACACTGTGCTGTAATCCTGTTGCACAAGAAAGGAAGAGGCACAATGGTGGCTACTATGGCTCTTCTTCAAACAACATTTACCTAATCTTAATAATAAGAACACTGAAGATTGACACAGCCAAAGACTGGGACATAAATACATTGGGAAAATGAGTGGAAAGGAAGTTGAAGAGGCCATCAGAAGGGGAGTTGTGCCAAGAAACCTAAATCTTTACTTTGTTCTTGAAAATCAATAGATAATTACCCATAATTTTAAAAATCAAGAAGTAGAAGCAGAATAAGGATATAATTTATATGTGTGGAAGTAAATATTGGAAAAATAGTTAAAAGTGAAATGGTTGCCTCTGCTAGGCAGGGATAAGTAAAATGGATGGAGACACACCTGGAACACCATGTAGCAGTTAGAAGAATGAATGAGATGTTCACACAGCAGCGTGCGTAGGTCTTAAAAACACAGTTTGGCTGAGAAAAAGAATCTTTATAGCACAATATGATTTATATAAATTACTAATATATGCACACACGAAAACTACATATCCTAAAGTGCAGATAAAAGTAATTCAGTGTATATATCAAACATATGAGAGCAGCTCTCTATCAGAAGAGAGAAATGAAGATAGAATTGAAGAATGAAACAAAACAGGATGAGGTTGCACAAATCAACAACAATAGTGTAGATGTGATTTAACGAGTGATTAACTCAAGCTTCTGCATATAAGGTTGCAAAAAAATTAAATGAAACTTAGAAATTAAAAGAGATGGAGCAAAAGACTGCTTTTCAAAAATATGTTTCATATTATGGGTTGAGTTGTCTTTAAGCTATGCACAATTATTCTTTGATTACAAATTAAAAAGAAAGCTGATGGAAGAAGACAAACAGGTATTTTATTTAAAGACCCAAAGGTAATCAATAGAATAGCTATAAGTAATAATATAATTACTAAATTTCAAAGGACTGGGAGAGGGAAGGGAGAAAGGTGGTATCAGTATCATTGCTCGTAGTAGAAAGTAAATGAATATAGTGTGAAGTTGATAACTCAAAAAGGCACGTAAGAGCAATGTTTAAATTTCATAAACTCACTACCAAAAAAAACCTTAAAGGCCAGAAATAGTTAAAAGAGTTTGCCTCGGCCAGTCTCGGTGGCTACGCCTGTAATCCCAGTACTTTGGAAGGCCGAGGCAGGCGGATCACAAGGTTAGGAGTTCGAGACCAGTCTGACCAACAAAGTGAAACCCCATCTCTACTAAAAATACAAAAATTAGCCAGGCGTGGTGGCAAGTGCCTGTAATCCCAGCTACTTGGGAGACTGAGGCAGGAGAATTGCTTAAACTGGGAGGCGGAGGTTGCGGTAAGCCAAGATCATGTCACTGCACTCCAGCCTGGGCCACAGAGTGAGATCCTGTCTCAAAAAACAAAAAACAAAAAAAAAAAAAGGTGGTTACCTCTAGGGAGTGGGACTGAGAATATGGTATGTATTGGGTAAAAAAACTGATGCTTTTCATCACAAGCTCTTCTAGACTATCTATATTTAAGATTTTTAATTCTTTGAAATATTCTTTGCAAACAGCTATATAATAGCATGTCATATGATTATTAACATAGCTAACATCTATTGATCACTTACTTTGTACTCTACCTTCCTAAGCATTTCAGAGATATTAACTCTATTGATGATCGCAATGACCCTATGAGATAGGTAGAATTCTCATTTTATGGACATAAAGCCTGAAGTGTGGAGAGATTAATCAATTTGCCTGTGATCACCCAGCTGATAAGTGACAGGGCAAGGATATGGATTCAGGTGTCCTGTCTCCAGAGACCAAAGCTTAACGACAGTGGTGTTCTGCTAGCAGAATTCAACATCCCCTATATTAGGACAAGTAGATTGTTTATAAATTTTAATTTCTATAAACAATAAATCTTTGTGTGTCCCTAAGCCCTTAAACTCAGGTTCCCCCCAGTTCAGTGCTGCTATAGTATCCGGTACTTCTTTTTCATGTCACTTTACACATAGTAATTATTCATGTACTACAGTTGTTTGTTTAATGTTGCCTTCCCCACTAGATTATATACTCTACGAGGCAAGGCACTGTGTTTACTTTGTTCAGCTCCACATACATAGTGTCTGGTGTAGTACCTGACACATAGTAAGGACTCAATAAATATTCATGTTCTGCCTGACTGATCCATATTTTTTAAGACAGACCTATGAAATTAGAATTATGGGTCAAAAATATGAACTTTTTTTTTTTTTTTTTTTTGAGACGGAGTTTCGCTCTTGTTACCCTGGCTGGAGTGCAATGGCGCGATCTCGGCTCACCGCAACCTCCGTCTCCTGGGTTCAGGCAATTCTCCTGCCTCAGCCTCCTGGGTAGCTGGGATTACAGGCACGCGCCACCATGCCCAGCTAATTTTTTGTATTTTTAGTAGAGACGGGGTTTCACCGTGTTGACCAGGATGGTCTCGATCTCTTGACCTCGTGATCCACCCGCCTCGGCCTCCCAAAGTGCTGGGATTACAGGCTTGAGCCACTGCGCCCAGCCGAAATATGAACATTTTAAGGCTTATAATCCATATACCCAGATAGTTTCCCTACATGGTACACAAATTTACCCTCCTGCCAAAGGTGTATTGGAAGGTAATGCACCTCCAATGCAATGAAGCTCTGACAATAGGAGACAGTGTCATTATAAAACCTTTGCTACATGAAAATAGTGTTATTAAATATTCTATGACTATATCATCAAATCTCAAGCATATAATTAATAATATATGATTAAATATCAGTAAAATTTTAATATTTTATTAAAATAAAACTAAAATTTGCTTCTCTAAAATTTGTAAAGTGAATCTTCCCCCCCTTTCCTTAAAGTAGCTATTTG